TGATTGGCACCTTATTGAATTTTGAGCTTAGGTTTAGTGGAATAAATCTGTCACTTTCCTGTTTGGAAACCCAACTTTTGATATGTTCTTCATGTAAATACAGCATAGATGAAAACATTGTTATTTTTCTATTTCTGTGTCTTTATGAAAGAACACAGCAAACTTAAAAAAGTACAAACTAATGAACCTTTTGATTTGTGGCATCAAGTGGGTCTGAGGCCACACCTGATTTACCAATATGTGAAGATATCTACTGGGTTCAATAGATATCTTGAACCCAATAGATTACCAACCTACCGAAGTTGGTAATAAAATTTTGATTTTGTGTTGAATTTGGATAAAATCCATGATACGTTAGTTTTGTTTGATTATTTAAATTGGCATTTTTTTTGTAAACATGTATTACAAACATGATTTTCCCAATTAGCCTGATGTCAAAAGAGGTTCACAAATTAACAACCTTTATACCAAACTTTACCCCTAAAATGGCTGTGCAGCCATATTATTTATGTCTCTGCACTTTATGGCAGTATTTCTAAATCTACACCATATTTTCAATGTAGTTATTGTGGAACAGAGAATGATTTATGCTCTTTAAGTCCTATATTTTTTGTCTTTTCTTACAGTTAATGGAATATCAGTGTGTGGAAAAAAAATCTAGTGGAGCAGTCAACTAGCCAACCCTCCTGACAGCTCTTTAGACCTTTGACCCTTCCATAAGGACGTGACGTCGCACAGGATACAAGCATTATTACATTTTACTGTTATGGTATTTTCTGAACGGACAATATCCAAACCCACCACTGGGTGGCAGCACACTGTATTTGGACATTATGAAACAAACATATTGAGAACATTTTGTTTTTTCTTTTTGGTTTGTTTTTTAAACGTTTTTGGTATGCATTTTAAAGATAAAACGAGATGTTTAAAAATTCCTCTACTGTAACCTCTCCTGAAGATTAGTTCTGTATTTTTACGTGTATTTCTGTGTGTGCAACTCGAAAACCATTTGGGAGATCAGAATGTTCAAAAATTGAGCTTGCTTTAGTTCTGGTGATGTATATATACAACGTGATTGTTGATGAAAAGAAAACAAACAAAAACAAACACTGAATCTGCTATTCTTGCTATCAGAAGACTTGAGAATTTCTGTAAAATCAAGTTTATGAGCTACATTTCTGTTTGCTATGAGCTGTCATACTGTTTAAATTGTCAGATTTCAATCTATAGTACTAATTTAAATGTAAAGAAAAGCAGAGTAGCTTACACTTTGCATTGAGATATGTTTGCCTTTATATCAGTGAAATAAGAAATAAGAGAATGTAGCATATATGTAACATATGAAAATCCAAGATTTATTGTGTAGTGCATGGTGGGGGTGGGGGGTGTTACCATGAGTAAGATCATATGAAACTAAAAATATCTGCTGTTTTAATTTGTCAGTCACAGACTTGTTTGCATTTGTTATTGTTGTGCATCAGTCCTGTCCCAAACCATTTCTAATGTCCTCCAGTGTCACAAAAATGTTGTTAAATAATAACAATTAAAAAAAACAAACATCTTATCTAAACCTCATGTTGAACAGGAGGGAAATAAAATGTTGGCTGCCGAAGTACCCCAAACATTTTGTATAAAAAAAAAAAAAAAAAAAAATTAACGGAAACGAACACAAGATAATTTTTCACAGTTTGTACTTGTATCGTGTGCCTGTGTGTCGGCTTTCTGTTGTCATTCTGCTGTCATACCTGCGTGTTGCCAGCTGCAGAGAGAGGATTTGTATGATAAAGACAAAGAAAAGGCCCTGGCATCTAACTTCACTCGCATCAAGTGACGACCGGATGACACTGGAGGGAAAATGTGGGGTGAATAGTTGGACGGCCTTGGAAGCTGGGATGTCTTCTATGTGGAGCAGAGCTTCGGCTGGCTGTCTGTGTCCCCATGGCAGAACAATGACTGTGTCTTTGTTGTCCACATTGTTTGCTGTCTCCAACTGGTTTCTTTTCTTTTTCGAAAGGGAAAAGATAAGCGTTTCATTTGACAAAAAGTATGATGTCAGTGCATTGCACTACTCCTTACATGGTGTGTACCTGTTGCCAGCATGGCAATGGATGGCTTAACATGTTTAAGAAATAAATATATCAGCTAAAAAGTGTGATGAAAAATGGGTTTTAACTCATGTCTGTGTGGCTGGTTGATTGGCTTTTCTGCTGTAGAGCTACTGTTGTGTATGACCTTAGTGTGGAAAATGCGTGCGTTCTTTGATTTAGATCTATATACTCTATGTATACCCTTGAATTTTAAATATACAGATGTTGAGAATGAGAACAGCTGTGTATCTGTTACAACTGAGTTTAACTTGATATTCTTTATTTATCTCAAGATATGGTAATCAAGCAACATTGCCAGTCAAAAGTTGATTTGCACTCCTCATTGGCATAGATGTAATTGATTTGGGGCTTTTAATGTTGCATTTAAGCCATTCTGATCTTCCAAATTAAACGATTTAAGCTCTTCCTGTTTTAAAGGTGTCACTGCCTCAAACAACAATGAATTTTGTAAACAAGAATTTTGTGCACAATATTTAATTTGCGGCTTTTCTCTAATCCACAAAGTGTCCAAAATATCGATGCAGGCTCAATTATACAGGAACCTTTGTTAATGTTTGGTTAATTAACAAGCTTTGTCTTATCCATGTGGTTTTTGTAGTCAATAACAAGCTTCTGGAAGTTGGTCAGGATGTTCAGCACCAACCCAGGAATCACCAAGGGTTACGCCCATCGTATAAACCAAAAGATGCATGAATGCCGGTTTTTATGTTTAAGTGATGCTAATATCACCATAGATTTGTGAGAGCTAAGAAAGAATTCCTTTCTTCAACATAAACACATCCAAATGTTAAAGCCTAATTACAAAACACATATGGTCATGGGGCTGCTTGAGTATTTACCCAAATATTATCTTACTTGAGCCTGTATCTGTAATTTTTGCCTCCTTGTGAATCGGAAAAAGTCAACAAATTCAAAATAGTGCACCTGACTGTTTTTAAAATGTATTAAAGGTGTATTCTGTGTAATCATTCCCCCTTTAAAAAGAACACGTAAAATTATTTGATTTGGGAGATCTGAATGTTTACATAGTTGAGCTTGCTTTCAGATAAGTGTCTGTAAACTCCAGATTGGTACTGTAATGTAACCATTATTATGAGAAAACTGGCTTTAGTTTGAAATATTGTCATGATAATAAATTTTTTTTTCCCAAACTGCCAGTTGGCTCTTTTGTAATAACAGATTGGTCTTTAATTTCATTCATTTTAAATTTCTCTGAGTTGCAGCTTAACATTTTATAAAATTATAGTTATTAAATGAAAACATTTATTGCATAGTTACAAATGTGTTTACATCTGTTCTGTGAATAACATTTTATAGTCATTATTTGTGGCACATTTCCATAAAATATAAAACTATATAATTCACTTTTAAAATTAATCCCTACATTTCTCTCTGAAATTCAAACTTTTGAGCTAAATCCTAACTGATGGTGACCCATACTTTTCTTGCTCTAGTTAATAAGTTTGTTACCTTCTCCTTATCTGCCTTTTTATAATTTACCACATATTTTAAACATGTTTAAGATCTGAGGATGTGCAGTAGACCCAGAATTCATGATCCACTTTGTTATTCAGTCATCCTGCAAAAATTAAATTTTCAAACTGAGTCTGTGTTGCCAGAAGAAGTAAGTCTTGAAATATGTTTTGATTCTACTCCTTATTCATGGCTGTGTTCTTAGCCAGAAATGGGAGTAAGTTCACTCACCTTTTTTTTTTTTTTTTTTTTTTTTTTTTTTTTGACAAATTGGGCTCCAGGGACAACTCATTAAAAAACAAATTTTTGGGTCTTCTGATGCAAGTCTTTTCTCAGAACAGAAATAAAAGCCTCACATTGTTTACAAATGCTCGAACTCCAACATGCTGAACTGAACAACTTATGCACTATGGCAATATTTTTCTTGAGTTCTAGTTTCTCATTTCTTTACAGTTTTTGCAGATTCTATTACACCTGACATAGACAACACTCCACAGACAGAAAACACTAAAGTTCACCATGAATTTATGGCAGATTTTCTATCTGTAGGGATTCAAAGGTGTGCTACACCCCAACCAGGTCGCCAATCAACTTTTATTCCATCGCCAAACCTTAAAGCCATATCTGGACTTTATGAACCTGATGCTGAAACACGCTTAATGGCCACCAGAGGGCAGTATAACTTTTATCCGTTGCAACTATTAGTCTTAAAATATGTTCATCATATAATGTGATGTAGTATAGATATTAAAAAAGGTATCACAGAATCCACTGTACCTTTCTATAGGATGCAAACAACTTGGCAATCCCCAAATATGTGTGTAAAAAACTTAAAAATAAATTAATCGCTATTGCAGATAGAGTAACTGCATTATCTCACTGTGATTTTTTATTATTATTATTTTTAATTTTATCCATTTATTTTAAGCACATTTGCTTTGAGGGGGGAAAAATTGCAGAAGTAAAGTTATAGTTACCTTCTATAACTAAAACATCTGTAATTCAGTCTTTACCATGTTAAAACTTAAGAGAACTTTGGTTCATTTGTGCCATTTAATATGTAATTTTCAACCCATTTTGACAATGTTAAATGTATACTGCTTGAATTTGCCAGATGATATTTATTATGTAAACTCTGGTCTCAGTTTCTGAAGGTACTAAAACACATCATTTTCAGTTAGGATTTCTTTCAGGGCTATTTTGTACCAATTTTTAAATTATTACGTCTGTCCAGCAGATAGCGCTATTCTTTTTCCTGTCAAACCGTGCAGCAACATTTCACACTTTTTCTTCACAGAGCCGACCTTCTCCTCAAGCCTACAGAAAAGCTGTGGGGTGAAGTGAAGAGAAGATTGTATCAGGACTCTGGGCAAATTAGAGAGATTGCGCAAAGATGTATGGTTGAGTTCCAACACCATGTGGTTGTAGGTTTTTATTTTCTACCAGTCATAGATACACTGCAGCCATTTACTTTTAGTCCGTTTGAAATTTAATACAATAATTCATGCCCTTGTAGATAATTATATAATTATGAGCTGTATATGCACATAACTGTCATCAAAAAACAATGCTGTTTCAGTAAACTAAAAGCAAACCTGTCACAGTGAACTTCCACTATTTTGCATGTTTTCTTTAAATCACAACGTAAACAGTGAGAGTGATATACATGTCCCAGGTAAGCACAGTGACACCGTTCAGCCATCTTGTGTCATCGCATCGTCCTCCACAACCCGCAACCCTCTGCAACGAAACTGCCCATTTACTGTTCCCTTATGGCCTGTGCACAAAAAGCGTGGAGGGGTTCCCACCTGACATTCAGGAGTGCAAAAGCGATTTATGTAAAATAAACAAGCACACACTCATCCACTCAATTAAATATTTTCTCAATGAAAAAGAAAAAAAAAAAAAAAAAGAGCTAATAAAGCTTTTTACATTAAATGGTTCTGCAAATACCTGGTTATGCTCCACAGAAACGTGTGAATGTTTCTCTTTTCCTGATGGATACCTGAAATTTAAATAGCTTTTGAAGTGGTGATGCTTGCAAAACTCTAGTGAAACCAGTCACCACTGCTGCAGCTTGATCGGCACACATTCATCATCCATAGCTCATGAGTCAAGATCAGAAAGCCGAGGAACAAATGTAATTACACACAAAAAGACACACTGAGGAAAGGAAAAGAAGTCTGAAAGACAATCCACAGAGCGGCAAAAGCAGTCAAAGCCGGGATCTCACTGACACGTGTTGATTAGCCATGCCAGTTTTACTTCACGTGAGTGATTATTAATTCCTAGGCTACAGATGTCAGCTATTTTCATATAATAGATAATATATGTTTCTGGCTACTAAAGACGAGAGTACACATAGTCTACACGAAACACGACAGCAGCAGTTACATTTTGTGTCAGCACAGTCCGTTTTTCTGTTTGTGACATCCTGACCACCTGAGTCAAGGAAAAAAAAAATGAAAAGGACTCGAGCTGTTGGTGAAAGAAGCATGTTAGGACCAGAGTGATGTAAATTATATATATATATATATATTTTGTTTAATTCTGAACCCCTACGAAGACATCAGTAGCTGAATTTATTGTAAGGTAAGTTGTTCTTTACCTTGGACTGTATTCCTCTGTTTTTATCGTCTGTTTTCCTGTTGCTCTTCCATGTGTTTAAAGCAAAACTACAACAACCCAGACATTAAGAATAACTCAATAAGGAAACAACAGAAGGCTTTCTTTGGTCATAAAAAGGCAAAGCAACTTCAGAAAATAATGTAAAAAAAATCAAAAAAAAATCATGGTTTGATAACGTGAAAAAAAAGAGAAAAAAAAATTTGGAAAACAAAAATTCATCTTCCAGGACTGAAATGGGAAGACTGTGGTGTCTCTGAGGTGCACACTGGGATTGCATGTGGCTAATGCATAGGATTAGCAGGGACTTTAGTGTGGAGAGAGCTGGGGATCTGGGGAGAGAGTTAGTCATTCAGTTGCTCTTCCACCTCTGTTTTGTCTTTTGTCCTCATTTTCATGGCAGCAGCTAAAAACCTGGTGGAGTTGCTACTATTGATCACAGGCAACTGATCTTCTCCTGGGTCCTCCAATTGCGAAATGAGGACGTCTTCGTGCTGCACGGATCCTTCCACCACTGTTTGTGGGTTGAACCTTTACGCATGTGGGCCCTTAAGACAGAATAAGAAGATGTTAAATATAAGTGCTAACAGCTACATTTAATTATTACAGTGGGAAGAACACTCAAATTTAGGTATTTTCAGGATCAGTGAGGTGTTTAAAGATAAAATTGAAAGAACCAGAGAAATGGAAATGTTTTTCTGTCTAATGCTTTTCAGTTTCCAATCCTTCTCCTGTAATAAAACAATGTGGATTTGGATATATCTGCAACTGCTAGATATATCAGTATCAGCTATATCAGTTACAGCATGAGTGTGTGACCTTGCCTCTACTGTATCTGCTCCTACTACCAATAATTAATAACTGCTGAGAGGAGATTAGCTCAAAATAGTTTTACATGCTTTTGTTAAGATATTTTATGACATAGTTCAGGCCGAAACAACAGAAAAATTGAGAACAAAGTTCTGCAAAATCCAAATCACTCAAAATAGTAAATCACTTAAAATGAACATTGGGCAATCTCTCTTCTACAGGAGGGAGCTCAGTGTTTTCTGATTGTGTTTTCAAGTTGAGCTTAAGAATTTCTCATTTTTTCATATTTGTTCTTTTTAACCATCCATTGCTAAAAGCCACCTATTTGTTCAGGATTTCACAGGACCTAACAAGCACGGTGTAACTTGGCAAGGTTGCTATTCCATCACAGATCAATATAGTTTGCAAGATCTAATTTCGGGAACATCAAGAAGTTTTTTTTACAAACCTGTTTGGAATAATTTTGAGCTGATGGGAGCTTTGAGGCCGAAGATGGATCTCCCTGGGAAGTTGCTGTCCGTTCCTCCTCAACCACAGTTTTCTTTTCTGAATCAATTTCTTCTTGCCTGGATGACAGGAAGCCTTCACTTTTTAAAAATGTGACCTAGGTGGGCATAAAATATTATCAGTATATTTACAATCTTTTGCAAACAATGTAAATGTCATATTATTATAATTATTGCATACAGTGCTGAGAAAAAAATATTTGACCCTTTACATATTTATCCCATTGTTTTCTTGTCACACTTAAATGTTTCACATCATCAAACAAATTTCCATATATGACAAATATAACATTAATACACAAAACCAGCGTTTTAAAATTCTAATTTCATTTATTAAAGACAAAAAGCTTGTCAAAATAAACTGCTCCTCATTTGAACAAGTAACTTCCCTCTCTCATGGGGCAAAGTTAAAGTTCAGAAATGTTTAAATGTGAAAACAATTCAAATAAACAAGAAATCTAAAAGGGGAAAAATACATTTTCAGGGTACGTTATAGATATTGAGAGTACATGCACCTCTGTGTGGTCTCCAACACTTTTTAGTACGGTCCGCTTTGCCGTCCTGGAATAACCGTCTTTGTCTGCTACAGTCAAAGAGTCCTGAGAAGCTCCTTCTGACGGTATCTCTTCACCATCCACAGAAGCACACTTGCGGATTACTTTTCGTGTAACCTGAGTGAGAAAATTGTTTGCATGTCAAAAAAAGCGACAGGATGACATCTAATCAACACTACACATTGAAACAGCTGCACAAAACCCAGTAATGGGTTTAAAGGTTAAAAGAAAGCAACAGAAATTAGAGCAAATGAAAACCAACTTTACCCTTTTGACAACTAAATGCCCATTTTCATCTCGGTACTTTTCTTCAGTCACGGACTGAGCAGGGAGGTGAGCTAGTTCATCATCCTGTTTGAGAAACAGAACAATTGTCAATCAGAAAGGGCAGTTTGGTTCAGAACGAGTTTGTGTGTTTATCACCGCACTCGGCAACACATGGGGCAGAAACGTAGTACTCGCATTTCAGGTTCATAAGAAAAGTTTGGGAAATTAGGGAAACGGCAACAAAACGTTAAGGGTTATTCCGTCAAAGGAAATCGGCAAAGACGTGCTCACAGCAGAATAAAACACCTCCAAGACCTTCAGCCATCTGTGCAAACAAAGTGGAAGTTAAAGTCCTGAAACACACATGTTCATTCATTTTATTTGGTAGAAAAAGACAGTAAAGTCAAGGTTTCCATGCCAAATCAGCGCATCATCAGCCATGCCTAATAGGATACCTTGATGAAAATTCTCCTTCGTATTATTCTGGTGGTCAGAAACTCCTCATCTGAACTTTCTGATATTGATCCAAATTCTGCAGAGAGCTCCTGACCAAGCAATACAAATCTGTTCAGAATCAATTCATTTACTCCCCCTACATAAAGATTTTGTTTGTAGCAAAGCAAGCCGGGAGCGGAGTGGAATAATGCACTTTCCAGTGTGTTGGATGTTACACTGGAAGATATAACATAGCACTTGGAAAAAAAAAAAAAAAAAAAAAACATTTGGAAAAATGTCATGCTTGAAATTTTGAAAGAACAAATCATCACCAGGTGACATTGCTAAGTCAAGCTGCAGTGACACATGCTGAGTTAGGGTTTGTTAAATTGGAAATAAAATAAACGTGGTTCATAGCGAAATGTAGATTAAAATTTTCCAGCCAGAGGGTTAGCGGTCATTTCTTCATGAGGCAAATCTAATTAACATTATTACTCGGCTCTGGCATAAAAAAACAAAACAAAAAAAACACAATACTCGGATGATTTTTTTTACGCTCGTCTTACCCTTTGCAGAGACTTATCAGTACAGTAAGTTCCAGAAGGTAGAGAAGTTTTGCACAGAGAGAATTCTTCATCTGATGTCTCTGAGTGATGTAGTGATTCTCTGCTCTCTTCAAGTTCCTGATTGTACGACTCATGAACCAAAAGAGCGTCTTCATAATCTTCACTTCCAGAAGACGGGAGCATTTTTTGCTTTGCTTTTTCCTGTGTCCCTGTGTCGAACTGATGCTGAGCTGGATCTGCACTAACAGCTGTCTCAGGCGCATCAAATTCATTCTCTGACAAATCCGACACTACTTGTTTGCAGTCGAAAAAAGACTCCATGTCAGAGTATTCCAGGTTTGGACTGTCCATTCTGCACTGTGTCCCATCAGCAATTCTGAGAGGGGTCCTGGCATAGGTCCCCGAAGCAGAGGAGATCTCTGCAGCTTCTAGTGGGTTGGTGTACTCCTCATCAGACCCTGATGAGGAAGTTTCAGTTTTGAGTTTGAATATAGGAGATTCAGGGGCAAAATATTCATCAGAAAGTTTTTCTACACTCCTGGAAGAGGGGTAAGGTATCAGCTCATCAAAGCTGAAATGTCTCGAAGCTGTAGCTATGTCAGGAGTAAAATCAGACACAGGCTGGGTAGATATGGCTTTAGTGGAGGTTCCCTCCCATAAACGCTGATCTTGGTTAGTCTCGGCAGAGGCTTCTTCTGTTGTGCCCCTCGACTCTAAAGACTGTGAAGGTAGGCATTGTCCTTCGCAATTTGAATAGGTGTTTGTCATGAGGTTTTTCCTGTTGAACTCATTCAGATTTTTCTCAAGTGTGTCTCTCGGAGAAGAAAATGTTTCAGTATGACTCTGAATACTTTGGCAAGACTGAAAGTGTCCAAAGCTTTGTTGTTGAGTTTCCTCACCAAATTTTTGATGGACTTCAGGGATTGATGAATTCGATTCTTGATGAATGTCAGAGTCTGACTCAGATGCATGTTTTGTATCAAGACATTGTCCTACATTTACAATACCTTCTGTAAGCTGCGGAACAGGAAACACACCGACTTTATTTATATTTTCAGTAGGGTATTCCTCTTCAGGTGAAAGTTCTGCATATGTGTAAGCTTCTTTCTCCTCGGGGCTGCTATCAGAGGACTCAGATGCATATGAATCAAGTTTTTCTGGTGATAACTTCAGTTTCATTTCCTTCAAATCAGAAAACATCTGATCAAGTTGAGGAGATCCACATTTCTGTGATGTTGGGCTAGAGTTTGAGGACTTGATGTTAAGTACAGAACCACAGTTTTCTTGTGATTCTAGAGTCTCAGAGTCTGACTCATTATATTCATATTTTCCCTGTGGAAAGCTACTTTGGCTGGTCGATGTAATGTCATATTCAGTGTTCACTACGTCCCACACAGGTTCATCGTGAGATGTTGTCATTGCTGTGTTTGAATCATGTGTCAACAAAAGTGTCTCTGCTTGCATGCCCTGAATTTGTCCCATATCAACATTGTTGTGTTTTGGGGCTTGAGCAATATCTGTCTTGAAAGTTGAAGATGATACCTGAAAGAAATAATACAATGGAACGGGGGGGAAAAAAATGCATAAATACTTTTTGAAGTGCCTTTGGGAAGCAACACTCAAGCCAAAATGGTTTTTGTAGTTGAAAGCGCAAGAGTTAAGCCTGTTAAAAATTTATTTGTAGCCCAACATGCATGAGTATTAAGATTATACCTTTGAACAGGAGGGCTTTTCTTACAGCATTTTTTTGTCAGATTGGAGACATCTGTTCTAGTGTGATAGATGGTCACACAGTAGTTTAAGCAGACTCTATAAAAGGTTGCATAATACCATAGTTTTCCACATTACAGAAGGGCACAAATAAATTTATATTAAAATTAGAATGACTAGCAGTGAAGGGGATGATGAGTTTATATAACTGTCATATAACTTTTATATATAGTTGTTTCCAAGAAGCAAAACATGTGCAATGATAAAACGGTTTTTATAGCATCAGGATTGTCTGTTGAGGTTCTTAAACTTTCCTGAAAGACAGAACAGCAGCTCCTTCTCAGCAGAGCTTTATACCCCTTCACTAACACACAAACACATTTTACCCAAATTGCATTATGTGAAACCAGAATAATTAATACACTATTTTTGTATTTTTGTGTCTTGAGGAAAGATCCTTTTTGAGATCAGATAGAAAGAGTAAGGCAGTTATCATTTGTGTCAGTGGAGAGGTATGCCTAGACAATACTGTGTGGATATATAGTTTAAATATAATGTAAACATACACATTTCAGTCAAGAGCGAGTGTCACTCAACACATGCTTCCACCTGTTGCCACTTACAACCCTTACTGCAGTTAAGAAAGAATAGAATGAAAAAAAAAACAAGCTCATCTCAATTATTATGGGGTTGTAGGGATTTAGATTAGTTTTGCTACATTGACGAATCGTCTCAATGCTTGAAAAGCAAACATGCGACAATAAAGCCTTTACTTGTTAAATGCCCAAGAAGCATCAACAGTATGACTTTTTATAGCGCCACATTAATTTAAAAATTTTGAAACCAACACTGCACTCATGAACAAACAAGTGCTTGTGCTTTCTTACCAACACCAAGGGATCTTTCTGTTGTCTTTGAACATGGATTTCCTTTGAGGAGAAATCTTGAGGGAGAGGTTGTCCTAATAAGCACTCTAGATTCAGGCACTCTCCACACAAGGACGGTTTTTCACTCAGTCTTTTTTTTTTGCTTGACCATGTACATCAAAGCCAGCATGAGGAAACCACTCCCTTGCTTTTACAGATGGCATGTGATTCAACTTCAAACCAAAGCAACCACTAACAAGTGATGTCAGTGAAATAACTTGTGTCAACATAAGAGTTCTGACTTCACATTGAAAAGTAGGCTGATCATTACTGTTACAACCTGAGAAATACCTGCAGCATGTTGCTACTGATGGCCACTACATGGCTTGGTGGTCGCTGCCACCAATTAGTAGTCGTAACTATTAGTATAACTCGCAAGAAATGATCATGATCACATGACTCTCTCCATCACAGAATTCCTACAATTTTTCTGGTTTATGTTATTATGAGGTTAGTGTTGAAGAATTAATTGCCACACATTAAAAAATAGTTAATATGTAAATGTTTCACATGCTTATTTTCACATAAGTCTTCATATTAGTCTCACTTCCAATTTAAAGGACTTTTGTCCTACTGTATTGCTATTTCCCACTACTTCACAATTGAATAAGCTTGTTCACACGAGAAATCATTGAAAACAATGGTGGCGACAAACACAAACAGTAATATGAGATTATATTCGTAATTCAGCCATGGTGCTCATCATGTATTGGCTATCGGAGGAGAAATTGGCATCTTAGGTTGCGTTTTGGGGAATACATTCAAATGACACAACTTTTTGTGTAATGCTGTGAGAGCTCTGGTGGAGCCAGTTGCACATTGTCCTCAAACATCCGACTGCATGCATCAAATTTGGGGAAGGATTTGTTTCTTATAAGAAACATTGATTTGTTTCTTATAAGAATGTTTCATATAAGAAACATTGATCCGTTTTTGAAAATTAATTCATTTTCAAAAACAGACATGGTAACTTTTGGTGATTTTATTTGGAGACTTAAAAAATTATAGGATAAAAGATTAAACATGCCAAAATGGAGTTATTTTTGTGCCACCAACATGAGCATATAGTGACCAATCCAAGCACACAGTGAGGCGGATCTGAGAACATATACCTATGTATATAAAGAGTAATTTGAGGTGTCTCCATTTAATTTTCACACAAGCTCATTCAAACGTGTTGTGGCACACACTAACCTCTGAAAACTCTAGTTTGCTTGCACTCAACCCAGAAAATGTATTCACAACTTCAGGTCTAAGTTCATAAATCACACTACCAGTGCGGTCTTTCTAATCTAATCAGAGTATTCCTTGAAAATGCTCTATTTGCTGGAATGAAAAATAACCAACAACAATCAAAAAATCTAAATACCAAACAGCCAAAGTAAAAGAAACACTTGAAGTTGGCACGCTGGGAACATTTAGTTAAGCATACAAATATTGTGAATTTTAGGTAATATTTTGAAGTTTTTTAAACAACTATGTGATATGTAAAAATGTTTGTCTTAAGGAGTTTAGCTCCTGCAAACTATTTGTATTTTTATTAGGAAATACACATATATAATATCCAAGACAAATATTTTATACTTTTACTGTCAACTTTGAGGAAAATACATCTGAAAATACAAGTAGATGTTTTTCATCAAGTCTGAAAATATGAAAATATCTGAAGAAAAAGATTGGTCTTCCTCCAAAAATCTACAATAAAATCTAAAAATTGTTCATTACCTTACAAAAAAGTTTGAAGTACTATTGTTTATTTTATTATATTTTTTTCATTTGCTGCAGTATTTTGACTTGCTTGTTGTTATTGATTGCTCTTAATTCCAGTGAACACAGTATTTTCACAGAAAATCTAAAAAACGAGGAAAGGAAGAGTTGCAAAAAAGCAGAGACATGACCATGCCAGCTAGCTGAGAACAGGTAAAAAAAGAAGTGGTCAGAGATGAAAGCATGAAAATACTATTGAGTGGGCTTGTATGGGACTTAATGCACACTCCTCAAATGATTGCATATTTATATTGATACATGTGCTTAGACCAACATACCTCTCCATACAGATTGGAAACTGTGCACACTAAAATTGGTGGCACTAAAACAAAACGGCATGAAAAAACATGCAATAATGTATAGGGGGCATTTCAGAAGATGAGAAGGATTATATTCATTTAGATAAACAATGAAAAATTACAGAGACTGGGGAGGCACGGAGGTACAGTGAGAGCACGGTCCCTTATAGAAGGGATCATGTAACTTTGAAATAGGTAGAATGTTGCTTTTTAAATGGGATTGTTGAAAAGAATAATACTTATCATAGGGAAGAAAAGTTGAGGAAGATGCGGCATTGTTGACGAATGGATGTTGGTAAGGAAAGGGATAACCTGGCTTCTCAATTTGGTTGTCATGAAAATCTACTGTCAATGTCTGACATTTGGTAGAATTAACCAGTGAAGAAAAAGTAAAAGAAACGGCTGAATATGTCAGTGATGGGGAACACGAATAGGAAAACATTGTTCTGCTTATACAAGTATTGTCCAGATCAAAGTCTGACACAACTGACTGAGGGGACTCTTGTCTGTTGTCCTCAAAAATACTTTCCAGACACAAATCAGTGCCTTCCCAATCTGACAATGTAGATTCTGGCGTAAATGACCTGCGTCCTGTTAACTCTCCACTGTATTCAACATGAGAACATCTGAAATCAGGAATTGGTGAATCTGAAGACACCAGCCTAAAGTCACTGCAAGATCCCATTGATTCAGGAGAATGTCTGCTTAACTCAGATAGCAAATCGTCCTCAATTAGAGGGCTGGACAACTTCTCTGCTTGGAAAGTAGATGAAACATCTTCTGAATCCAACTCCCCGAGATCCGACAATGGTTCTGATTGTGACTGAAAGGAAATACCTCGAACAACCTCTGCATATGTCAGAGGTCTCACTGTAGAGAGCAGTGGAGAAGCAACTACATCTGATTGTTTAGACTGTGTAAGAAGTGAATCTGGTGAATCTGTTCGGTTGTCAACAAACATGTCATAGGGACAAAAGTCAGAGTCTTCCACGTCGGACAATATAGACAGAGGTGACACTGTTCTATTTCCTGGGTACTCTAGGTAATAGTTACAATGCTGACCATGTGACTGAAGGAATGTAAGAACAGGAGACCAAGTCTGAGCTTCACCAGCTGCTAAAGATTCTGGTGAGGATGCTCTAAAATCGTCCAACCAGTCATTTAGCTGTGAAAAATCCAAATCACAAGACAAAGAGTCTGGGGACAAAGTTCTGCTGAATAACTTATCCAGTTCAAAGTCTGACACAACTGACTGAGGGGATTCTTGTCTGTTGTCCTGAAAAAGACTTTCCAGACACAAATCAGTGCCTTCCCAATCTGACAAGGTAGAGTCTGGCGTAAATGACCTGTGTCCTGTTAACTCTGCACTGCATTCAACATGAGAACATCTGAAGTCAGGAATTGGTGAATCTGAAGACACCAGCCTAAAGTCACTGCAAGATCCCATTGATTCAGGAGAATGTCTGCTTAACTCAGATAGCAAATCGTCCTCAATTAGAGGGCTGGACAACTTCTCTGCTTGGAAAGTAGATGAAACATCTTCTGAATCCAACTCCAAGAGATCCGACAATGGTTCTGATTGTGACTGAAAGGAAATACCTCGAACAACCTCTGCATATGTCAGAGGTCTCACTGTAGAGAGCAGTGGAGAAGAAGCTACTGTTACACCTGAAAGTTCGGCATGTCCATTTGTCAAAAGCGTGGCCTCTGTATTTTGTTGAGGGAAAGTTACCAATTTACCTGAGTATTTGGAATCTAAATCTGGAGAACAAGAGATTGTTGAATGCAGTTTGCTTTCAATCTCTTCAGTCATCTTTGTATGATTAAAATTGTTAACACTTTCTTCAGTCTCATTTTCCTCAAATAATGATAATCCCTTGTTAGATAGTGTTTCGGGTGTATTCTGAAAATGTAATATATATCTTGGTTTTGCTACCAGCTCAAAGACTTTTATTTGTTTTTGCAATTTTGCTTTTTCAACAGAATTGTTTGTTTTGTCAACTTTTGTGTCTTTCTTTTTAGCTTCTTTTTCTGCAGAGTCTCCCTCCAGATCTGCATCCATACCTTCTGTTTGCCATATATTTGCCACATCATTTTCTTGTTGACCTAGTACTGATACCGTTTTAGAGGACTGTAGCTCAAGAACAGAATTCCAGGAACACAGGTTAGATTCTTTTCTATCCTTTGTTGTTTCGAGTTTTATTTTTTCACTTCTTAAATATGAGGGTTTTAACTTTTCACTTTCATAAAACGCTTCTTTACTTGTGTTGTCAGGTGCTCTTTGTTTTTCCTCTTCTTCTATCTGATCTCTAGTCCAATCATTAGGATATGGCATAGGAGCACTTTTAGAGGATTTTAAGTTTACACATCTCTCAACACTGTATTGTACACATGGAAAATATGACGGAAGATTATCATTTGACATGGTCCAGTTTGTTGGAGATTTTCTATCTGAATTCTCTAATTGTTTTGTCAAGAATATATCTGGATACACCTCCTCACTGGGCATAATAGCATGGAAACCCTTTATCATTGGTGGGGATGTTTGGTTCTCTCCTGAATAATGTAAGAAGTAATCACAGTATTGGCTCCTCAGTTGGGAGCGAGTTGGTTCTGAGAACATGAGATCAAGAAATGAGAAGCTGCACTGAGAGGACTGAGAATCTGGCGAAAATGTTCTACAATCTCTCTCTGTTTCTTGATTAGAGGTTAATAATTCTGGTGAAAATACTTTTCTATCAAGTAATGTAAACTCTATTAAAGCATCATCACTTTCAATTTCTGAAGACATAGGTGACAGAGTTTTTCTTCCTACCCTCTTATGTGAAACAGCTTCAGAAAGCTTAGCTGCTTGAGAGTTTGAGGACAGTGGCCTACTGCAATTCCGTGACTCAAAAGACTCTGAAAAATAGGAAGTTGAAATCACAGGCACTGTGAACTCTTCTGGACAGATCTTTTGTTTATCTTCAGATGTCTGTGTGTGCAATGTGTTCTCATTGTAAATCTGATTAATATCTGTTGAGCTACATCTGTCAGACATTGTCGAAAGTTCTCGACAGCCTTCCCATGTGTTGGAAAAGTCTACAGGTAAAAACCATTTGGTACCTAGTGGAGAATCAGGTGACATTGCTCTGTAATCGCTAACCGACATGACAGATTCAGGAGATGACGGCCTGGACACACTAGTGTTTGTCATCCACATGTCAGCTTCGAAAGGGTCTGCTTCACTAATTGGTGAAAATGAGTCATGCTGTTCCCCAGACACCAAATAATTAGGAGTGAAAGGGCAGAAATCTAAAACAACAGATTGTGAAGTCTCAGTTATTCTGTCATTTTCAGGTTCAATGTGTGAGAAAAATCCTGAGGGAGTAATATTCAGCTCAGGAGTGTGGGATGTTTTAGATTTAATGTCAGTATCTGTATATTCTGGAAAAGAACATAAATTAGTACGTCTATCAGTTGAGTCACATGTCAAATGAGTGCAAGTGCTCTTTGGATGATTATATGGCATAATAGTTTGAATTTTCATTTTTTTGTCAGATTTCACCATGCTGCTCCTCGCTGAACTGAAAACAGATTCACTTGACTTAATGTCATCTTCATCAATGAAGGGTATATCATCCATTTGTACTTGGTCTTTTGGATTTTTGTTCCTGCATGACTTGACAGCTTTAACTTCCAAGTCCAAACTTGAAACATGTGGAATCTTGTAATTACTACATAGTACATCATCAGGTTCCTTCTGAGATGCCCTACTTTTTTGTGCTACATCTGTGTCATCTTGAGCCAGAGTTGACTGTGTTACCATGGTTTGTGATACTGGTTCATAGAGTCTTCTTAGGCTAGTTCTAGTCACTTCTGTATTACCAAGCAGGGGAGTGCAGTTGAACTCATCAGAAAGCTCAGTAAAGTCACTTTCGGCTTTATCTGATTCAGATAGGCTCAAACTGAAGTCTCTGATAGAAATGGATAATGGTCCCTTCATAACTTCTGGTGACTTGGTTTCCATATCCTTACAAACACACTGCATCAACAGTGAGGTTTGACAACAGTCACCTTTGAATGAGAGGCCAGTTTGGCCAGATCTGAGGCAATCCCCTTCATTACAACTTGAAACTTGCTGACGTTTCACCTGAGGTGCTTGGCTCTTCAGTGTTGCTTCTTTTGTACTGACTTGTGTACTTACTTGCTCATCTGAGTGACTAGTGGATTCTTGTGTAATCACATCCTCTGAGGTCCACAGATTAGGGTTCAGTTCACTGTTGGGAGAAAAGAATAGGCCAAACAACATGGTTTTGATTACAAGATTAAAACATCATGAAAAGATAATTACTAGGAATGTAATGAAAAATTCAGATTTTGAGGGGATGGACCACAATAGGCTTATCATAACATTACAATATTATTTTAAGTTGGAAAACTTTACATTTAATTTGTATTGCAAACTTAAGCGTTCTAAAGTTTTAAGATGGGATTTCTTAAATTATATGCTCGAGGTTTGTAGAAACAGTTCACATTTAAATTCCAACCAAATTTGCTGAGTCAATAATAATTCTAATTATTGATTTACTGTGGGATTTCGGGCTCCTCCAATAAGTCTCCGTGCATGCTTTCTGAGTGAGTTTGTCCTGCAGGTTCTGCCCATGAAGGAATATCCAATAAGGAGGCAACTGAGAGGTCTTCTTCAGACACAGCTGGTGGTGGTCTGCGGTCTGACTCTACCCTCCTCACAATTCTTGGGCTGTCTGTATCCTCTTGCACTGAAGATAGAGCTACTGACACTGGAAAAAATAGACCCTGGATTAGAGTACATGTTAACACACATAATAGAGCTAGGTGATTGAAATGACTTAAAGGTTCTGTTACCTTCACTGTGGTCAAGAGTCTTTTCTATCTCTGCATATGTCCTTGATGTTTGCTCTTGAACTGACTTGTTCATCTGGGTTTCAATAAGATGGACTATGTCCATCCGATTGATCTTCGTTAGTCTTTTTATCAGGCTATCCTCTGCAGAAAAACATATATTTTGTTTAAACATTAAGAATTGTGGATAATGAATTAAGAAATCCTTTTTGATAATCTCCTAGCAGGAATACAACAGAAACAAAATTCCTGTATGCATTCACTAGGTGCCAGGAAATAATAACAATAGTCCAACTCCAATAAGCCTTCGCAGTGCTTTTGTTGCACATTAACAATGTTTAGCAATTGTATTTACAGTATTCTCACTGACAAAGAAACATCATGTGTTCTTTCACATTCAGTTAACAACTATGTGATGGCAAGAGTGACTTAAAAAATAACTTTAAAAAAAAATAACTTTTTGAGCAGTAAAGCAACAAATCTGGTTTCTGATGTCTTAAATGTGCAGGGCCTAAAGTTTGTAAAAATAACTGCCAAAAAAAACAAAAAAACAACTAGAAATGTTCAAATTAAAGCATTTAATACAGTTTTTAAAGGTACCTGTAGCATATTTGCCTTCACGTTCAACCCATCGTTGCAACAAGGCATGGCTCTGCTCTTGTAGGGAATTAGGATTCTCTGTTCTGACTTGCTGAATGTCATCCTCATTGAATTCCAGTTCCCTTGCCAGCTCTGATGTCATTAAAAACAAAGGAACAGACAAAAAGGTTGAAGAAACATACTTGTAGTAAATACAATGAATCTTGGTTTGGTAATATGGACATAGATATGAGATTGTTTTAAAAATAGACATTGACATGCACTGTATGAAAACAAACATTTTCACTCACTGACTGCCATTAAATCAGCTTAAACATTTCTGTTCTCTAGCTATAGTTACTAATTGCCAGAATAATAATAATAATAATAATAATAAAAAAAATTATGACAATTCTGTGTTCTCATATTCTTTTTACTTGCATACTACAGATGAAACGGCACCTTCAGCCATTTACAAATTATATGTACAGATGAATCAGATTTCTGGAGGCCTTTTCTGATAATCTGAAAGATTTCTTTTAATATTCCTTTATATCCTAGAAGGAAGCAGTGTGTTCGAGATGTTGCCTTATGTATACATCCTCAGATATCCCTCCAATCAATTCAAATGCTGTAAAATAGCAGAAGGATTAGAAGCTTACGAAGCCACTTTTATCTGGGCTTTTCCAATTTGTTTAAAGGCATAATATTTTAGTGTATGTAAACTTCTCCAAAATCATTTTGGTTTTTCATGACTAGCATTTAGAGAATAGAAATAATTTAGCTAAACCTAATTAACTTATGAAACACTTAGTTTGACCTAATATTAATGAAAAAAAGTCTACAGTGTACGTAAGCATATTTTTTCAATTTTTGGCTCACTGGTCACTTCGTTAGGTATATTTCCAATTGCATGTTGACACTAATAATGAATCAACAGATTACATGGAAGCAACCTAATGAATTTAAGTCTCTACACAGGTTGAAGGCTCCTTGGGAAAGGTCAAACTGAGCATAAGAATGGGCATGAAAGGGGATTTTCCATTCCTTATAACCAGCATGTACTCATCTACAACATGGCTACTCCCAGTAGGATAATACACAATTTAACAAAGTTATAATCTTCTCAAGCCTGTTTCTTAAACATGGGAGTGAGTTTACAGTAATCCAATAGACCCACAATTATAGCTGCCAATCCAATAGAGTATTCTTTGTGATGTGGTGGAACAAGAACATCACAGTAATTGTATAGATAATAAATCTGCAGTAACAACATGATGCTATGGTGGAATATGAACCAAAAACTCTGGTGTTTTGTGAATGCCTATGCTATGAAGAATTGAAGAAGTTCAGATGCCAAACGGGATGGGGCCTCAATTTGGTGTCAGTAAGGTTTAGTTAACACAGCAGACGGTTAATGCGCCCTGCTCCATTTATGTTACTGAATCCATAAACGTGTTTTTAAAAAGAATCTATTGTGTTTGCTATCAATGCATTGACAACATTTCTTTGTAGCAGTAAATAGCTGTAGAAAATGAATGGCTTACCAGTCCAGCTGAAGCCAAGAAGATCTGCAATGATCGCTAATGTTTCTTCTTTCCTGTCAGTGTCATCCTGCCAGTCAGCTAAAAGATTCAATCATAGCCAAAACATAAATGGGGATGTCCAGGTAATGAAGACACCAACTGTTTTTAACAGTAAATGCAGCATAAACACATTACATAAAATATCATTCTGGATAAATACAAAATGTGATTTCCTGAGGAATCTATGCTATAGGCTGTAACGTCAATGAGGACATGTGATGTCTATATGGATGATAACACAAAACTTGGTTTGCTTATGCACAGTTACTACCTAATCACATAAACAAAACATGCTTTTTGGCCGTTAGTGTAAGCAGTGTTGTTAATGTGTCAGTCAATATATGCAAATGGTTCACTGAGTTGATTAACATTAGTAAAAGCGGGTTATTAGTACATAATCCCAACAATGCAATAGACTTGTATCAAAATTTTCTAGTTTCAGTCTAAGAATTGCTTTGTCCTCAGACACAGCAATAACTTACCAAATGTAATACACTATTACCCACGTGCACATGGACACAAACAAAATATGGCAACAATATAAAATGTGAAGAAACAAATCCCAATGTTGAAAACATAACAGTAAATGGGTAATGGAGAGAATCTTGTCTAAAAAAAAAAAAAAACAGATCTCACTGCGGAAGAGAGAAGATAGACCAACAGCCTAATTCATCTCAAACCATACCTGATGTAAATTCTGGAGTCTGATCATCACCGATTCTCTGCATCTGAGTTTCCACTGTGTCATCCCAGGCAGGCCTGGACTCAAACACATCCTCTGTTCCGCAGGATGGATGTACAACTGGCAACTGACTGCCATCAGAATCTGAACTTTGGGAGGCTGGGATGTCATATGTAAATATAACAGAATCTGAACTCATGTGACTAGTGCTGCTCATTTCATCGGTCTCTAAAGAAGACCTCACAGATGTTTCATTTATTGGAGGAGAACTTGAAGAAATCCAATCAGCTAAAGCTTTCTCCTGGATAACGGTAGTAGGTTTGGAAGGAGGAATACTTAATATATTAAAGGGCTGACTACTCTCAGAATAACTCCTACCTTCTTTACTAAAGGCCTTAGTTGTGTTATCCTCAGATCTAGTTCTACGACTAAAAGTTAGGATTTCTCCTGCTTCTCGAACTTGAACAAGCTCTGAAAGTTGTGGTTCTCTCACTGATATTTCCTCTCCATCTCTGGGGGTTTCTTTGAAATCCAGGGGCGGGGGTGAACGCTGATATCTCATTTCTATGACTGAGCATTGGTCTTCATCTTCATCAAGCTCATCATCATCATCAGATGATGAGGCATCTAAAGAATTCTTTTCAGATTCAGCAGATGTATCTAGCTGTAGGTCAGCTATTGTGCTGTCCAGATAGTCCAGCCCAAGGTTTTTGAGACTTTCAGCATCTGTTGAAATATCTGTAAAAGTCTTAGAAGTATTTGGAGAGGCAAGCTTGGTGTCCGTAAGGCTGAACAGACCAACATTTTGAAGCGATTTCTCAAGCTTTGACTTTTCAAGAGAGGATTTTGTGGTACTTTTGGATTCAGGACTGGAAGTTACATCACAGACATCTGGAGTTAGCTGTGATCTTGGGGTCCCTTGAAGAGTTGTGTCTGAAACACTTGTTTCCCAAACAGCCTCCTCAACATGAAAGAATGAATATGATTCCTCTTCCTCATCAAAGGTTCTTCTTGTCATATCAATAGCTCCACCCCGAGTCATTTCAAATAGCTTTCCTTCCTGAAACTGAAATGGACTGGGGCTTTTCTCCCCACCTGGTGTCTGCACAATTATTTTTTCAGGTTGTTTTGTGTCCTCCAAAGCATCAAGAGGCACTTGTTGCTCACCCTCATTATGTTCCCTTAAGGTCACATTATCATAACTGCAACATAATGTGACATCTTCTACTTCAATAGTTTTGTAGTCCTGGGGTTCATTGTTAAACTCCCAATCATCTGTTAATACTGTCTCATTTGCAAAGCCACTGGGTAAGGTATCCTCATTTCTCACAGTGCAGGTAAAAGGTGCTTTTGCTACTTGAGAACTCACACCTTCTGTCATGACTTTGTGTATTTCTGCTACTTGGGGCACAGAGACACTTCTCTCAGGTTCCTCTTTCTGACTTGTAATTACACACAGTGTATCTTCAACTGGCTGATTAGAGATTTCTGCTCCTTGTTTTTCAGAGCTTTGGTGTAGCACATCTGTTAAGGAAGCCTTTGTAGCTGGATCAAAACTTAGATCCACTGCACTTTCATCAGATAGAGACGGGGCATCTACCAATTTGTCTTTCTTCATTTTGGATTCATGTTCCATTTCATCAAATGTTTTGATCTTTACAGCTATTTTAAACATCTCCTCTTCTGGAGTGTGTTGTTTATTGGTGGTGTCATTCTCACTGTCATTACTACCAAGAGAGTCATGCCTAATGAGTGCGTGAACACCCTCGTTTGACCACATACTGAACCCAGTTACTTCATGTGTAGACTTAGGAGACTGATCATCCATCACTTTACTATCCACTTGTGGGATTGCAGTTATGTTTTCTTGTGTAGTGTTGCCAGATTCAGCTGTATGAATGGCTTTATCAGAAGCAAAACATGCTTTGAGCTGGGAAGCATAATCTTCATACACAGCTGTCTGCACTGGCATTTGAAATTGTTGTTCCTTTGGTTGAGTAGGACTTCCTTCAAGAGAGTCTTGACATGGAGATTCTTTAGTGGGGCTTGGCTCAATGGAATCAGGAGACTTTGATGATCTGTCTTCCATAAGAGGACTGGCCTCTAATGAATCCTGATGGCATGGTTCCTGATCTGAGTCATCAAACCCCTGAGTCTGAAGGCTGCCTAAATCAGATGGTCGTTTTAGTGTGCTATGAGTACTTGAAACCTGAAAAGACCCCTGTATGTTGAGATGTGATGAAGCAGCTAAACTTAAATTCTCTTCTAAATTATGCCCTGGCAGTTTTATTTCTTTGCAGCTCTCACTGACCAGATCTTCCTCAGAATGACTTTGTTTGTCATTTTCATCCAGGTCATTAGTGAGAAGGGACGAGATGCTAGACATATCTTTCTCAGTCACATGCTTTTGTGGGCTTCCTTTTCTCTCAAAGTAAACCTGTTCAAATTCACTCTCTAAATCTGATGATTGTTGTTTCTGTTTGACTCCAAATGCAGCCAGCTGGATGTTCCCCCCTCCCCCAATCTGTTCTTCTAAATGATCCCTTGCCAATTTAAGTTCTTTGCAGCTCTCACTTATCAGGTCCTCATCAGAAATACTTTTTGTTATCACTGGACTTTTTGAGACACACTCATCTATGTCAGTTATCAAATGTGACAACATTGTTGACATGTCTTTTTCAGTCACTGGCTGTTTTGGAGTTCCTTTTCTCACATCATCAAACTGGTCAAAATGAGTTTCCAAACCTGAGGCTTGTGTGTGTTCCTTGACACCAACTACATGAGTCTGCAAGATTTTGTCAACCACAACCTTGTCTTCTGAATCATCTCTCACAAGTTTTAATTCCTTACAGCTTTCGCTTACCAGATCTTCCTCAAGATGACTTTGACTTGTCACTGGTTTATGTTTGAAATATTCATCCAGGTCACAACTGAGATGTGACGACATGCCTGACATATCTTTCTCAATTACTGGCTTTTGTGGGCTTCCTTTTCTCTCCATATAAACTTGTTCAATCTGAGTCTCAAACACCATTTGTTCTTTGACTTGAACTTCATGAGTCTCCAAGTTTTCCTCTCTGTCTCTTGAAAAATCTCTTACCAGCTTTTTTTCTTTGCATTGCTCATTTATTAGATCCTCCTCAGAATGACTTTGTCTCATCATTGGCTTTTCTTTGAGATATTCTGCTAGGTCACTGCTGAGATGTGACAACATGCCTGTCGTATCTTTCTCAGATACAGAATGTTCTGGATATATCTTTCTTTCAGTATGAGTTTGTTGGCATGGAGTCTCCAAAACTGAAATCATTCGTTGTTCTTTGGGTGAAATTACAACAGTCTCTGAGTTTTTCTTTTCCTCCATTTGTTCTTCTGAATGATCTCTAGACAGTTTTACTTCTCTGAAGTTCTCATGGAGAACATCTTCCAGATGGCTTTTTCTTCCCACTGGCTCTTCTTTAATGAATTCATGAACATCAGAGCTGACATGTGAAAACATATCTGGCACATTCTTGTTGGTTTCAGATTGTTGTAACCTTGCTCCTTCTCTTTTGTATTCTTGTATGAACCTCGAATGGCCAATTTCCTCTGTTGTGTTTTCAGATTCACTACTTTCACTATCTATATCTTCTTTTATTTGACATGTTTTCTTGTCCTTGTATGGGGAGAATTTACCATCACTGACTGAAAAGTCTGTTGAGAAATCTTTCAATGTTTCAGATGTTTGGTCTTTTTCCAGTTCACTCTTTCTTTTTTCACCTGCCCCCATAACTATATTTTCCTTTGTCAAAACCTGTGTTCTTTCACCCATCAATGTTTTGTTGTTAGATGTTGATGCTAAAGTGTCTTCATCTGTTTCTTCAAGTACATCTGTTTCTTGACACTCCTGATCAATTTTATGTTTTTCAAAAGACTTAATCTGTGGGCACTGATCCAAATCCTTTCCCATTAACAACAGCGTCCCTTGCATGTCCTTTTCTGCTGCAGATGCCTGGTAAGATGTTTTCTTCTTTGTCTGGATTTTTTCAAGTTCTGGCTCCCTGATGATGGCTTCTTTTTCTTCTATGTCAGTTTGTCTATAAAGTATTTTGCTTTCATTATCAGCCAATACATCTGCCTCATCTGCCTCAAAAATATTCTTTTCTTCTTTGGTTTCACTTATTGAAAGACTAAAAGTCTTTTCATTTCTTCCTTGGTGGGTGTCAGAAGTTTGTATTTCTCCTGACCTAGAAAAGGAGGAATCAACTCTCTTGTCTGAAGATTCAGTCAAGTTTTCATCCGTGGGTGTCCCAGGAAGGTTGGAGCTGATGTCTCCCACATCGCAAGGACTGTCAAAGTCACCAGGTGATTCGTTCCCTTCAAGGGCCAACGGTGGATAATTGACATCTGAAACTGTTTGAGTCTGCCTAAACAGCTGATATTCAGGATTTTCTTCCAGTTCAGCCTTTATGTCAGCACTGAAGTCCTCAGAAGGTCTGCGATCAGGGCTGATTTGCATTTCCTCAGATAAACTCCTAAAAGTGCTTAAGAAGGATCCATCTAACTGCATTTTCCCTGGGCTTTCCTCTGACAAATCTGACGCTTCATTGAAATCCATCTTCGCCATTTTTTCATCAGTATTTCTAAAATAGGTCACATCAGAACTTTGTTGAGATTCATTTTTACACTCGTTCTCTTTGTTTTCTGTTTGGTGAACTGGAGTAAGGGATGGAATATCCTTTTGTGTTTGAGGAGCTGCAACATCACTGGTTTTAATATTTTGAATGTGTCCATGTTCAGCTGAAGGGTCCTGGAATGTTTTCATTAGTTCTTTCACAGACACAGTGGGCTTACCTTGCTCCTCACCTGGGCAACAGATATTTACTGTCTCGCTTTTAACAGAATCAGGACATGAAACTGTTTTTCCAAAAAGAGAACCATCTGAAACTGCTGCTTCCTCAGATTTACGTCGCACAAAATCTGCTGTTTCATCTTCTGTGCTGCCGTATATGATGGGGTCATCTTGTGGACTAAGAACCGTGAGGCTCTGAGCATGGTCCTGGGATTCAGATTCAGACACAAACTGTGTGCTAGAAGACGTTATGTCTTTGTGTTGTGAAAGTCCTGTGGTATTTTGTGGGAAATCCTGTTCTGTTTGGAACATTTTCATCCTCTCCTTCACAGACAGTGTCTCTTTGTCTTGCAGCTCTTTGTCTCTGCACTCTGCCAATGGGCTCTCATTTCCAAAGTCATATTGAACTGTATCAGCAAACTTTACTGTTTTACCATTGGAAAGTCTTTCTGATATCAACAGGGTCTTCTCAGTCGTGTTTCTGATTGAGCTAACTTGTTCATCTTTCATGTCCATCTTATCCACTTTATTCACATCCTCCTGTTGACTGAAAATGACAGGAATCTCATAGGTTGGACTCTGCTCTGTACCAAGTGTCTCTTCGGTATTTTTAAGCTTGTAATTCAATGTTTCACTGTGAGAAGAAAGTGGTGCCTTATGCTCAAAAAGCCCAGATTTACATTTTGATGGGTCCTGTCCAGTCTGAAAGGCTTTCATTAGCTCCTTCACTGACATAGTCTCCTCTAATCTTTCTGTCTGAGATCTAGGAGATTTAGGGGATTTGGGAACTTGAGGAAGTTCTGGCATGACATCGTCTCGTTTCATTGGAATGATGAAAGATTTCTCTGCACATGCTACACCTTGACTAGTTTTTTGCATGTCCTCCTGTTCAACTTTGGTTTGTAAAGCCTTAACCTTGTCTTTTATGGACCCTATAGGTGTCTCAATAATTAAAGGAGAAACAGGGGGCTGAATAACTGAGCTAGCTGAAACACTTTCTTCAAGAATAACATCGCCATCCAAAGATTCCTCAGAGCTCACCCTTTCCAGCTCCCCCTCAGAGCTGCTACACCTAGACAGCTCTCGTTCTCTAAGCTTTTTCCTTATAGGTTTTTTGATATTTGGGGGACGCTGTTTGCTATGTAGTGCTGTTTGCAATATAGTATCTTGACCAGATGTGTCTTGGACAAGGTCTTCTTGTGAACTATGTCTCACAGCAGGTTCAAAGTTTTCTCCCATGTCTGTGCTGACTTTCGAGACCATGGCTGTCCTTTCTTTCACTGACATACTGGTATTAATAAGGTTCTCTTTTTGAATCTCTCCAGTCTTTTCAGATCTATCTTTAAAGTGTTCCACTGCAGCAAATGATTCTTTTTCAACCAGCACTACAGCCCTAGCTCTCTCCTCATAGACATCTATTGGAAATACTGCAGGTAATCTGACATCTGATATGTCTGATAGAAGGTCTGGACTTGCAAGAGTTGCAGGATCAAGTGGTTGATTAGTTCTCAGTGAGAATGTCTCAGACTCAGATTCATCATCTTCAAAGACAAAACGTTTCATAACCAAAAAGGGAAGATAACATATGGGACAAATCAAGTGGGAAAGAGAGACATTAGAAAATCGTCATCAAGACAATGCCATTAAATATCCATCTTCAGTTCACAGTGAAAGAAGAAGTCTGACAGGGCAGAAGATAAGAAAATCTTGGCAAAAAGGCCCAACAGGGTAGTAGTCCAGAAAGGTTTGAAATAAAAAAGAGGAGCAACAGCATAAGCAAAAGCCAACAGGAGAAAAACAATAAGGCAGGTAAAATGTAGACAGGAACAATGAAAATCTGTTGTGTTTTCTACACATTTTGGAATCTAACATGAACAAAAAAGCAAAGAATGTAACAAAGAAACCCTACATGTGAAATGAACAGACACGACAGAAAAACAAACATCATCAAGCCTACTTTTGAAATAGTCATGTATGACTATAATATTACATCTTAGGTATGAATTGAAGATAATTACAGTGCAACTGAAAAAGGAGGTTCTGTATAAACCAAGAAATTCTATGTCACTGGTAATTTGCTGTTTTAAAGCATCGATCTCAGCTCAAGACAAAAGTAGTATCATAGATTGATACCTGTGAAAAGCATAGTTATATTTTTATTTAGAAGAACTGCAGATCTAGACAATAGTTCTTTTGAAAAAGGTTATGGTTTGTGACTTTATGGCCCATACAAAGAAATGATTGCAATGTAAAATAAAACAAATGAAAGTGGGGAAATGTTCACTTGCAGCCAGCATTCAGTGCAAGGAAGATTAGATAAAATGTGTGATGTTAGCTAGAATACAGTTTTTGTAGGTAGTCGGAATTAGAGAACAAACAAGATGGTATTGTTTATCAAATGCAACCCAAAATTAGAGAAATTGAAACATAAAAATGTTTTTTCTTTAACAACTAAATAGTGATTTCTTCATTTAAATTTTACTTTAATTCCATTGGATACAACATCTATCCAACATAGCTACAAATTAAAATTATTTGTCAGTTCAATATTTTTTTTTGCCAAACTATACAACTTAGCAGCTGTTTACAGTAAAAAGGTCAAATAATCAATTAAACAGCTCAGCATAGCTAATAAAGAAAGCTTAATTATTGGCAACTTTGAATGACTATCATAGTTCCAAAATTATTCAATTCCTTAAAGCATCTTTAGTAGAGTACCATTTGGTCATCATAATCTGCTGCAAACATGATGCATAGCCCACTCCTTATGGACAAAGGACTCCACTTTACTAATATCCTTAGATTTGAATATTGCCACTGCGTTTTGCAAGGCAATCCTGAAAATTTCAATGTAATTCAGTTACTGAAGGCCATTCAAGTATCTTCCAGGATGTCTTGTGACATTGTGACAGGTTAATTAAGTGTGCAGTAAAATCATTTAAAGTGAGTGTAACATACATTTTTTTTTTATATATTATTATATTGGCTTAATCTTATTTTCAGAATTTATTTTAAAGCTTTTTTTAAAATTTTTGGGTTGTATTTCTGGGTAGGGCAAATAAATATTTTTGACTTGCTGCTAATAAAACAGATAAACGCATGCAAACAAACAAAAAGAGGTCAAAATGAATACTTTTTATATCTTGTTAGCACAAAATAATTGTGCTCTCAAATTGACTAAGTTCTTAAATTGAATTAATCAAAATCATTTTAAGCCAAAATGAAAAAAGTATTGTTTTGACCTTAATCAATGATTGGCTGTTAGACAAATCTAACTAGTGAAAAATGAAAAATGCTAAGAGATGGAGAGGGTTAGTAAAGTCTGCAGTGAGGGAACACAGCCATAGCATAGCTGCCATCAAAAAACATGTTACTACACACTGTGTTAGTGGAGCCAGACAAGAAGCACGGTTCTCACACTATTCTATCACATTTAGCTATCAACAGTTAATGAAATGTCAGTTAATGGACTGTTCGTAGATTTAGTATTTAATAGATTTCTTTACAACAAATAACTGAACAAAATTTTGTCTCAGTTAAAGGCATGTATCTAATATTTCTGTTTTTGTCTAAAAATTTAATGTACACGTTTTTCAAATTTGGAATAAATATCACTGAATAAAAACTTACATTTCTTCTCACTCTTCTCACTCTGAAAAGAAAGAATTTAACAGTCATTGTTATGGCCTTGTGATTTAATATGTTTTAATTTGAAACAGCACACACAACATTTAATTTACCTCATCTTCCCCATCTTGATCTGAGTCAGACTCCTAAGGAGAATAAAAAAACAACATTCAAGTCTCTATGCTACTAGAAAGAATGCATACTTCCTACTTATGCATTCATAGAATATAAACCAATTATAATTGTTTCACTTTAGACATTCACACTCACTTTTGAGTATGTTGGAAGAGTGATGTTAAGGTTGCAGATGGCATTGTGATGAAGGCTTCGGTATGTGCGTGGTTCTTTAGTGAAGGACAATCGTCCACAGGGCTCCTGGGCAGTGTCACGAATCTGATCATTGGAGACATTATTGAATTTAGAGCTCATTCATAACGACCCAAAAAGGCATTTCAGAAATGTTTGCTTGTTGTATGACCATACTTTAATAAAGAGTGCCAGTCTGTTCTCTTTAAAAGCAAAGAAACTGAACACATGGTGCTGTCCACTCTTGGTAAGGGGTACAAGGTTTCCGAAGCAGTCTGCATATATGGGTTTTCCCTCCAGCACCTGTATGTAGATAATATGTGAAAATGATATAAAATATGATCACCTTTTAGTACAACATTAGGAAAAAAAATCTTGGTTGTATTTAGTTGTCCATAAAAATTGGCTTCTATAATTTCTTATCCTATAAAACCTTTTCTCAAACATTTCCCTCATTTTATGTATTCATTAACCGCACCTCAACATCTCGGCTGCGAGCTACTTCGGTGAAGTTCTCTTGCTGTTCCAAGGTTTTGTCCATCTTGTCATCTGTCATGCAGAAGCACCGCAACCGTGCCTCAATGGGGTCCAGCGTTTTGGCAAAGATGACGAACTTAGCCATGTAGGGTACGCAGATGATTTCTCTATACAGCTGTGTCCCAAAATTAACAGACTCCTGGGTCTGTCTGCAGTCTATAAGCCAGAACCTGTAAATTTCAGTCAGTAAAAAGCATTTAGTAGCCAGAAGACTAAATAAGGAAGCATACTACGCTTTCAAAACAACTTCAGTCCACACCAACAACCTGCAAAAGAGACACCAATTTACCTTGCTGAAACATTGGTGGTGAAGGAAACACACTGGTTAACAAAGGTGAGTGGTGTGGAGCCGGTGATGTCTTCCCACTGGGCAGGTGTGGTTCCACCTAAAAGACAGAACAATATAAGCTATGATTTTAGGTGTTTTACAAATGGTTCACAATAAATAAAACAGATGTTTTTTTAACAGGTATTAAGTTGTTATAATCTCAAGAACTTTACTATAATAGCTCAGATTATTTGCCATGTTACCTGTTATACTGCAGAGTAAACGTAGCGTGGGGGTCTCCCCACTGAACATGGCATTTGGCCCATCGGTGTTGGAGCTCTTGGGGATTGGAATCGTCATGGTGATCGGTTTGTGAAATTTTCTCCGTCTGGGTTCTAATGTAACAATTGGGCTAAAAGTGGCTTTGTTGCCAAGACTCTTTTTCACCAGCTCCACGTCAATAGGCTGAGCCTAAAAAAAGAGGCAAAATGTGTTAATAGTGTTCTGTAAACATGAAATGGCTTACTACTGCTCCACAGTGTAAACTGTAGAAACTGATGGTAATAAAGCATATGGAGGCAGTATGCAAATGTGTGCATATAAGCAGGTAAACACTGTGATCACCATAGGCAAGCATAGTCGTAAGGAAATGTAGCATTTTATAGGATCTGAACAGTTCATTTGTCTTCAATCTTTAACTAAATTTGATAGGTATTTTTGCCTGGATATTCCGAATTTAAACTAAGATAAAAAATACTGACCTATATTTCCTAATGAATAACACAAAGTAACCATAAATCATATAGTGACCAGACAATTGCTCCTTAAGTAAATGCACCTGTAGCCCGACTCTGATCTTCTTAGTGAGGGCACCTTCAGGGAAGACGGCCTGAACCTGGGGCACAAGGGTACTACTGAGCACGCCACCCTCAGGACCAATCAGATGGCTGTCCTGCTTTATCCTCGATACCACCGCGAAGTACTGAGGGAAGTCTCTGGTGATGATTCGGCAAATTCTCTTCTTTTCAAGCTCTTCGGGGGAATCAAGCTCTATGAACGGTGGAGACAAATGGTGCCCCTTATTATGTACTCACTTTACCTATTCATAAATGGATATATGGATTATTGTCATTGTTTCTTACTTTCATCCATGCCATTAAGGATCTGGTTCAGCTCTTCCTCAGTGAAGTCACAGTGGTGTTCTTTCCAGTTGTCTCCGGTTTCACTCCGCAAGATCACAAGTTCCCTCTCAGTGCCCCGAAGAGCGGCAAAATGGGGAATCTCTACAATCACAGGCCTGGTGTGGAAATAAGAGGTGAAACAAAAGGGAAAACATTTTATTAGAAAATATAGAGGTCTGACAGGGCTTTTTGGATGTGGATACAATTAATGTTAAATAAGCCATCTTACGAACAATCACATAAAATAAAAAAAGGAATTGATGATGTAGGTTTGAGGAATTTTGATTTCATGCTAAAACGATCGTAAGAAATAATTAAAAATAAAGATTACGGACAGCATCAACTCCATATGAGATAAGCAAATGCAACTAAGAAAGACATGGAAATAACTGAGCAACCCAGGATCCTCTCGCAACAAGACATTGTTTTGAGTAAAAAAAACAACAACAAAAAATCAATGAAAATCAAGAAACAGTAAGAACTTAAACACTTTGTAAATAAAAAAGGATGATCTTAAAGTAATCATAGCTGGGAAGAATGAGTGCTCATGTGACCAGGATTCCAAGGTGGCAGGATGCCCCCCGTCCCGTGATCCTACCCGAGGAACTTTGTTCCTGGAGGACCCAGCTGCAGGATGCGACTGACCAGGCTCTCGCCCTCATTCAGAGGGGGAGGAGCAGTGGGAAGATGGAGCTTACTGATTCCATACGCAGCACAGAGGAAGGAGTGAAGAAGAAAAGTTTGAACACACCACACCACTGAGAATTCACACTCATCCAACCAAATACACAAATTCTAACAAACACACGTACATATATACATGTAGTGGATTAATTTGCAATGATCTGCATAAGTTATGAGTCTAATTCAGGCTCATGATCTTTAAAAATCATTTCTGAAGGATGAATTAAAGAATTTCCATCAAATAAGCGAAAGGTTTCTTGATGTTTATCAAAACTTAGATTCATATACCCAGGAAAATAATTATAAATAATCTGTATTTACTTTTTCTCCCAATTACAATAAAGCTGGGGTCTCCAACTTCAGCCTTCGAGAGCTGCTGTCCTACACCTTCAGGTGTATTCCTGCTCCAACACACCTGAATCAAATGACTGACTTACCTCTTCAGAATGTCATCAAGTTTGGAAAAGGTTTCTTAGTAAAACATCCATTTGAGTCAGAAATTTACCTAAAAATTGCAGAGCAGTAGTTCTCAAGGATTGGAGTTGACAACACCGGCGCTGAAATCTATTTTGTGATGATTAATCGGAATGAAAAACCCACAAACATAATAAGACAAAAAAACATGAAATGCTAATTCTAAACATCACAATAAGTTAGAAATTATGTTTTATATTAATGAGAAATAAGCATTCAAAATATAATTTTTTTAAGTTTATTTGATAGGGACATACACACGACAACAGAAACTGAACAGAACATGTTTACGCCAGTGCAATAGCAAGAGCTAATTAGCAGCACTAGATGGGCTTTTAAACAGAACACCTTAAAACTAGTACAAACTGAAGTAATAAACATTTAAAATAGCACAACATAACACAACATATACACAAACAGTGCATCTTAGCTTCCTAAGTATTCCACTTTTGTTTATTAGGTCTCTGGTGTTAAACAGTTTCTCAGGATAATTTTGAGTTATAATTTGAATCTGCTGTTACTGGCTATGGAATCTATGAAAGTTCCTCGTTATGGATCTGGAATCATTTGAAGTGCTGCATGGAATTTAATGGATTTGGAGGAAAACACACAAACCTTTGTAGAAATGTTATGCAGTTATATACAGAAGAACACAAAACATTTTTCACGACTCAGATCTGGTATCAGACTCGGGCTAGGGAAAAGCATCTATCTGGTTCTGTTCCTTTGTCTTCTTCTGAGTCAAAACTCAGATGTTCTGGGAGTCAGAGCAGCCAAAATAATCCAGCTGAATAAAATTACAAACCTACTTTTCACCTTTTTTGAGCATAACTTCATTGCCAAAATAAACAAACAAAAAAAAAAGTTAGCATTTTAAAGTCACGTCAGGAGGTTAATTAGTTTAATGTAAGAGGTCTGTCAACCATATTTTGGAGGCATCAATAAAAGGAGCAACATTTTTGTGATTGGTCAAATCTGAGTGTTTGTGGTCATTAAATACCACATTCACCTACCCCAGGAACTGAGCTCCAGTCGGTCCGACCTCTATGATGCGACCAGCAAGCCCCTCGCCCTCCACCATGGGGGGCATGGAAGCCAAGCGATGCCTCTTTACCAGTCTGCATGTTACGCGGGTGGGTGCCGAACACTTCCTTGGTGGCACAATGATCCGTAGGCCATTATGACGACAACCACGCATAGCTCCGCCTCTGGCATCTACCATGAAGCTAACCAGGAAGCTAGAGGTAGAGCAAACTGAGTTTAAATATATTTCCATCAGTTGTTTAGTGTGTTGGTAAATCTCCATGCAAACAAATTGAATGGAGGAGAAATAGAGACATTTATAGCAAATGGAAAAACAAAGATTTTCAGCTCAAATTCACATATCTACATATACTGTATAAAAGTCACATGACTTTATTTGTACCACCATCTTAAATTATATGAGATTACATGTTTCCTGTTTTAGGTAAAAATCAGAAGTTACAAACATTTTCTTTTGTATTTGGCATAATTCTGTTTCAATTCTGTTTCACACCTTTCTGAGACGTTTTTGAAATCATTAAACAAGGTTCATTCAGTAGTTTGGGGGAATTTTAGACTATTCATGCCGACAAAATTGCTTTGCGACGTTTGTAGGCTGCCTTGTTTACACACACCTTTAAATTTGTCTGAATACATACAAATTTACTGATTTAGAAATGAGATCAGGCCTTTGTGGTGGCCCTTCTATAACATTGGTTTTATTATCACTTACATCTAATTTCCATTGAGCGATACAGAATGGACAGGTGCATCACACAACACAGTCAGTCCATTGATTGGGAGACAGAAAAACATCCTTGCTTGTGATAAACATGAGACATGCTAGTATGTGAAAGCTGTTCGATCTTGCTTTTGGAGAAATAGCTTTTACTTCAAGTGGGTCTTTCAGCCTCTGTGGGTAGAAGGCTTGTTTCACCGTGGGTATTAAAATCGTTTTGCCAGTTAAACCCAGCATCTTAAAATACCTTTCTTAAATAGTTTCGTGATGTCACATCAGGAAGGACAGGTGTCTTAAAATACATCTACAGGTGGTCTTTGGATCAAGTAATATTTTATGAGTTACCCTATCAGAAATTTACAAACCCATGACAACATCTTCTGTGCTATTCCAAATTTGAAGGTATAGCTAAGTGTATAAAACACTTCTGCCCTTAAAGAAAAAGATACAAAAATCAGTGAAGGAAGACAGACATGCATGCTTTTTATGCAGTCTATGTAAAATGTTAAAGTTGTATATTTGTAACTTCAAAACCTGGAAAATTCTTGCATGACATTTTTAAACTGAATGTTTTTATACTTGAAAATGCCTGATTACTGCTCGTTTATGAAAACTTTGTTTAGAAAAATAACAAGGCAGAAATATTTTTTATAAGTACTACAAATATAAATAGTATTTTTCAACCACATATCCATAGATTAGTAGATTAAAAACCTCAAAGAATAAAGAAACCCCACAGTTCTAGTTTTTTATTATTATTTAAAACCTAAATCCAGGTCATATAAACCCATGCATTGATAAACCATGCAAAAAATAGTATGGGAGTGAGAGAGTAATTAAAACTGGACTGAAGTAATCAGATACAAGCACAAAATCAAGAGTATCACCTGCTGTTGTCATGGTCTAGGCATGGAGAGGAACGGCTAGAAGCAGAACACAGCAGTGACACACAGACACCCAAACAGAATCACAAGAGGACAATGGAAAGAAGTAACAAGAGAAAAAGAGAGTACAGGATGAGTAAAAGTGGAAACAAACCCAACCAGACACAAGAATACACACAAGCATACTAGTACACGTCAAAAAGTGCAATATTTCTTGCAAGTCATCTCAAAAAGTGAAACTCATATACATAAAATCATCACACAGATTAAAATAGTCCAAGCATTTGTTTCTTGTAATTTTGATGATTATGACTTACAGATAATGAAAACCTAAAATTTACTGTCTGAGAAAATTAGAATAACGTGAAAAAAATTATGGAAACGTATGAAGTCACACCCTAATCAGCAAATTAGCTCAATACACCTGCAAATGTTTCCTCAGCCTCTAAATGGTGTCTCACTCTGGTAGACTGTGTCAAATATAATTGACATACTCTACCGATTGTGACATACCCAGAAGACAGTCAGTGGAAAAGTTCAGAGCCCAGTTTTCGAAATAAATTCTGCATTTCGTTTGAAAGTCAAAGTCCTAGAGTCTGGAGAAACAGTGGAGCGGCACACAGTCCATGTTGTTTGAAGTCCAATGTAAATTCTCCACAGTAAGTGATCGTTTGGGGTGCCATTTCATCTGCTGGTATTGGTACACTGTGTTTTCTGAACAAAATTAGTGTCTTGCACTAATTTTGCAAGACACAGATTTTATTTATTTATTTTTTTACAGGTAAGCCATAATCAGTACAATTGCAAAATACAAAAGCTTGAAATACTTAACCCTGCGCAATGAATCTTTCTGAGGTGACTGATAGGAAATATGGCAATATTCTAATTTTTTGAGATGTACTAGTACATGAAGAAAAAAAGAGAGCACACCAAAAATCTAAACTGCTTGGTTATTTCATAATCCAAATGCTGTGGATATGATGTTAGGACAGAAGTTGGGGTGTTTTCACCAAAGATTGGGTCAAAACTTGAGACCCAGTTTGATATTCATCGGTCAACAGCAGAAATGATTTTAAAACTGCATGCACATTAACTGTAAAGCTGTGATTCCCTACAGTGACGTCAGAGCTCTGGGCGATCTGACTGGTTGGGAGCGAACAGAGCTTTGTAATGTTCACAGTTTGAGACACTGCTTTGATAAGACGGGCCTTTGCTCATGTTGCTGTACGTACAGAAATAAAGCAAACATTTGCAAGTGGATACAACACCAGAACCCTAATGTTATATTAGATCTAAATGTTTCCTCCCTGGATGTGTAATTGCTAAATGAATGTTTTAATAGAGAGCAGTGTTCTCTCTATTACTTAAAGGTTGTAAAGTTGTTAGATATTGATTGGGTTAAATGTAGAGATATATATTGCTTTTGGAGCACTTAAATCAAAAATTAGAACCATTTCAATAGGTCATTTTTTTTCTAAATGTTCTTATGGTGCTCGTATTTGAAGCTTGTTCTATGTTGTTAACAAATATCTTTCTGTATTTAAGTGCATTGATCTAATGTTAGCATGATGCAAAGTAAGCTAAAACCTTAATTTTTGTGTATGGCTTGGCCGAGAAAATGCTGTAATCACTTTGACAAATGGGTTCAAAATGAACAGGAATTTCTTGCATGTAGATTTGTAAAACTACATCAAAACAAATATAAGATTTCATAAATTCAATAAGTTATGGGAATCTCTAGGTGTGAAGCAGTGTGTTCCTATACCCTGAGTGCAGCAGACTGGAAGACAGCATGACATTATCGAGATGTTCAGCACCCCAGCTCAGACGGAAAGTTTCCTTGTTGTTCTCTCTAGACAGTGTTGATACCTAAAAGACAAACATCATCTGGGCAACTGGATTTTTAAAAAGACAGCCTAATAGAAGCTTGCAGGATGTTGCTCCATGTTGTCCCACCTGGTGACTCGTCAGTATGTCTTCGAAGAGAACGTCCTCCCTCTGATGAAAGCTTTGGTGAATAGGAGTGTGCTGGGATCTGTCGGAAAGCCAAAACTTTTGACTATAGTTGGAAAGTGTAGGTGACGTGGCATCCCATGCATTGGTTCTCATTCTGCATATGGTTTTGTCACCTGTCGAAGTTGTGGAAGTTGTCGAAGCTGTCCAGATAATGTTCTGGCAGAGAGTCGTCCTGCAGTTTCCATATGTCCTCTGCTCTCAGGTACTCCCCACCGTCCCCTGTCATTGTGTCCTCACCTGGAGACAGAGGTAGAATCATATTGTTAGCAATATAATGGGAAAAATTATCATGTGAATTACTAGTAATCTTATTACTAACCATTGTCTGAAATATTTATGAACTCTAATGCACAATCTTTGAGGATCTAAAGCAACAAAGGTAACACTGTTGTTTTTAATGACTGTTTATTCAATGAATGTTCAAACTGGTAATGATGAGAAACTTGTTGCTGTAGTGCAAAAAGACCTAGTAAATGCCACAAAGGGTCAATTATTTGCTGTTTAAATAAAACTTTTCTCGCAAAGCTCAAACCAGTTTCATCAGCATGCATCACAGCTTTAGGTCCTTATTTTTCAAATGCCAAACATTTCTTCTAAGTTATGAGCATTCCAAAAAGTTTAGCGGTCATCACAAATTTGATTTCAAATCACACAAACCTCATGGCAAGATATAATAGGTATAAATTGGTGCATGCATCCAATTTACAATAAAACAATCCATAATCTGTTGTTATCAACTTCATAGTTAAAAGGAATTCAATAATAAATTCAGTTAGTACTGTGGCGTTATGGTCATAAACACAGAAAAAAAAGAGAGTGAATATTGAAAGCTCTTAAAACACCAAACACACCCAGGTATTACAGGGCCTAGCAATCTAAAATTCACTTTGTTTATCTTCAACAAAATGATGTAACACTGCACACCATGCTGACAGAGCATATCGTACCTTCCAGTGCTACTATCATCTCAGAAAATGCTTCATCTTCCACCTTCAAAACTATGAGACATATATTTTTAAATGCATGCCTCGACAAATACATAATTCCTGTCTCTCTGCCAAAATTAACACAGATTGTATCTTCTCTGCAGCCTTGGTTAATTAAATTCATTTTTAGGTTTCAGTTGTTACACGGACTTTAGATGTAACTCACCTTCCTCATCCGATACATCTAGAATCTCTGTCATGGTCTCTGGAACGTTGAGTTTATGTTTCTCTGTCACCGTCTGCCACGGCACACGCAGAGAAGGTATGGTACATCAAACAAAGGTTAGGATTACTAAAGGTTTGCTTCAGATGTGCAATGATGGCACAAACTCACAGTCGTGGTGGTGATGATCTCTTCTGTAACGACTTTCAGCGTGTCAACCACAGAGATGTAACCCAGGCGTTTGGCAATGGACAGAGCAGTATTCCCGTTCTGCCAGAGCAAAGGGACAGGAATATAAAAAAAAAAAAAAACAGAATCATGATTAATATTATCAATAAGTAATAGTATGTGGGATTATCAATGTAATGCCAAATATGAGAGTCAATGGAAGGCATAAATTTCAGTCTTACTACTGTGGTTGTGTTGGGTTTGGCCCCATGTTGCAGCAAAACATTAATTATGTGTGTGTTCCCTTGTTGTGCTGCCTGGTGAAGTGGTGTGTAACCATTCTGTAAACCAAAACCAAAACACAAGGGACAAATACACTCAAAGGCTTTACTGTCACAAGGAAGTCAATACAAATATAAAAATATCTGTATTTTGTTTTAAGCTAAGTTTTTATTCTTCATACGTAAAAACCCCAAACAGTTTCTACCTTGGTTTTGGCATTGACGCTGGCACCTTGCTGCAGCAGGAAGTTAACCATTTTGACATTTCCGTAATGACACGCTACTATCAAAGGAGTGTATCCAAGCTGCAAAGGGAAGGAGAACGAGAACAGGATGAAATGATTTCTAGATATGGCTGATTATTCTGCCTGGGTGCTAAACCAAGTAAAAAGAAGAAACTCTTAAAAATTTTTTATACCTATATGTCAACATTCTGACATTCTGGGAAACTATTCTGTGGACCAACAGAGACCAAAGTGGAACATTTTGGAAGTTGTGTGTCTTGTTACACATGGACACAATTGAGATATTGTGGTTTGACCTTATAAAGACCACTAAACCTTGAAAGCCTTCTACTTTATCTGTGACAGTTGTTAGGTTTAGGGTTCAATTACTTTTTCCATTTAAGAAATTAAGAATAATTAAGAACATCAGCTACATTTAAATCCAGGCAGTGTAAATACACACAAAGTACATGTAAGCAACACATAAACTTAGGTGTAATTCTATATGATCACATCCCTCATATGTTTACTGCTGTGGTTTTAAGTGCACGAACACAAAGAGTGTGTTCGCACTTTAGTTTGCTGGTCCAGGTTCGCATCATGTTTGGCCAGAACCTCCGCTGCGTTCACTCTGTCCTCCTGGGCTGTGAGATGCAAAGGAGTGAGTCCGCTCTGCAACACATAAAGCACCAGATTCTCACAGTGAGTAACAGCAATCAAAATGGATGTGTCAAACAGTAAATAAAACACACACGATCAGCTTGTTATGCATGAGACCTTGGTTGCTGTATTGACGTGAGCTCCTTTGCGTAGCAGCAGGCTGACCATCTCAGCATGTCCTTCCTGGGCTGCCAGGTGCAGGGGACTGACTCCCTGCTTGGTCAGAACGTTGGTCTCTGCTCCGTACTGCAGCAACGCTAAAGCAATGTTGGTCTGGTTCTTCTTAGCTGCAATGTGAAGTGGAGTGTAGCCATTCTAGACAAGATGGAAGGTTGACAGTTCATGATGAAATAAACTGCTGCAGAACATTTACATTTGAAAACCATGAGCCTTTTCGACTTTCACTAACCTTTGCAGTGGCATGAGGTGATGCCCCTTTATCCAGCAGCAGCAGAGCCACATCCTGGTTGTCATAATGAGCTGCTACATGTAATGGAGTCAGGCCGTTCTGTGAAAAAAAAAAAAAAGGCATTCCAGTCAATTATATTTAAAACAGAATAACTTAGTTTTGCAGTTTTATTATCTAAATTTAGATTATTCATAATGAGTAATATTTCACAAAATAAGCCACTGAGTTTTAGAGATGCAAACTATTTACTGAATTGCAGCTCTAAATTTAATGCTCACCTTCCCAGCATCGTCTGGAAGTGCTTTCCGTTGAAGGAGAAGGTTCGCTACATCAAGGCTTCCATATTTGGCTGCTACATGTAAGGGAGTGAATCCTTTCTGTGGAAATTGAATTGGAGAAAATCCTTATTTCCAGATTGTCTTTTTCGTCATGCTGAGAACCGTCTCAGTATGCAGACACCATCCTCCACCTTCCACCCACCTTGGTGGCCAGCGAGTGCGAGGCTCCTGCCTCCAGCAGCACAGCCGCTGTCTCTACCTGACCCTCCCTGGCTGAAATGTGGAGAGGGGTGTAGCCGTTGGTGGTGGCAGCATCCGGGTGGGCCATGTGCTGCAAGAGCAGTTGGACAATATCGGTTTCACCCAAACGAGAGGCAATGTGGAGCGGTGTCTGGTCCTCCTGTTGGTAGATGGAGAGAGAGAGAATGTGTTTTAGCAAAGTCAGAATGTTAGAAGCAAAACATTCTTTCTCATTTAAAGGTCATAATGATACTGTAATTTGTTGGGAATATATGTGATAAACCAGTACAAAATAGCATATAATTGTAAAGTGTAATAAAAATCCAATGCTTGCTAATTAACTAATTAAACAACCAACAGGCCATTTGCTTTTCTATTAAGCTGGTATTGTGGGAAAAGCACCAAGATCAAAGATGTAACAGGAAAACAGCCACAGAAAGTCCCATTAACAGTTTGCTAAAAGCCATGTAAGGACACTGCAACACATGGCGGGAGGTGCTCTGGTCAGATACATGTAAAATGCTCTCTGTGACCACAAACTAAAGCTGCACATCACCACTACCATACCATGTATGGCAGCATCGTGATATGGTGATGTTTTTCTGCAGTAGGGAAATGCAAATGCTCACTCAGTTTTTTTAGATTTCTATTAGTAAAAAAAAAAAAAATGAAAACAATGTTTTAATTTTTATCCTCTGCACAATGAAGCCCTACATTGTGCATGTCTGTCACATAACCAAACAAATAAAACCAAGCAGGGCTTGTCTTTAAAATATCAAAATGTGGAGAACGTCAAGAAATATAAGAGTTTGAAACACTATAACAGTTTTACAGCAAAGTAAAGCGATGGAATTGGGAGATGACTCACCCTGGCCATAGCATCCACCAGGGCTCCATTTCTCAACAAGCAGCGAACCACTTCCATCTGACCTGCTCGTGCTGCCATGTGAAGCGCTGTCTCACCACGCTGTCGTGCAAAACCACAACACTTAGCAACATTAAGACACTGCGACAAAGGAAAAACCGACCACTAACTTGCAAAAACTACAACTCACAATGTTGCGGACGTCAGGAGAGGCTCCGTTCTGCAGCAGCAGCAGAACAATGTTGAGGTGACCCATGAAAGCTGCTACATGGATGGGTGTCAATCCAGACTGGGATGTGAAAGACAGAGAGGTGAAAGAGCAAAGACTGGCATCAGATGAAAGTGCACAGAGCTGTGAACAAGCACCGTTTTTTTTTTTCCTTTTCAAAAAATCGAGCAGAAACTTACCTCAGTAATGGCCTGGATGGAAGCACCATATTTAATAAGGAGCTCCATCACTTTCACTCGATTTTTCTTGCAAGCAATATGGAGAGGAGTAAATCCATTCTGGCAGAGGGAGAATTAATAGACAATCATTTTGTTTTTCCTCTGCAGCTATTGCTTGCATAAAATCTAAAGCAGCTCCTCCATGTTGATTTGATTTCTCACCAGCGCTCTGGCGTTTGGATTGGCTTTCTTGTCTAGGAGGAGCTTGGTGACTCTGTAGTGGCCACAGTGAGCGGCAACATGCAGCGCCGTGAGGTAATCGAGTGTAATGTCGTCAACAGGTGCCTTGTGTTGCAGCAACAGTTTCACACACTCTATGTGGTCTCCCTGGGCTGACATGTGCAGCGGGGACAGTCCGTTCTGTATGGTGCAAGAATATATCCAAAAAGTAAATAAGAAGGCGGCAAAGAAAATGCCTATACTGACACAGTGAAGGAAGAGCAGTATTTCACCTTGGTTCTAGCTAAAATGGGTGCTTCTCTTTCCAGCAGAAGCTCCAGGGCCGTGTCATGTCCACTCCTGGCGGCACAGTGTAGAGGGGTCAGACCATCCTGTGGACAATCACATAAAGCCCACATGAATAATGAATCAGCAAATGAAAATTTGAGAAGCATGTTGTGGAAAAAATGATTTCTATAAGCTAGTATCAAAAATACAAGGTTTTATTCAATAAAATCTGTTGTCGAAAAAAATTCAGAAAAGTCTTACCCTTGTCTTAGCATCTATTTGAGCCCCTCGATCCAACAGCAAAGCCACCATGTTGGTGTTTCCTCTCTTGGAGGCCACATGAAGAGGCGTTATCTCATTCTAACAAGAAAAAGGAGGAAACGGAAATAAGATTTTACCAAAAAATAATAAGACTGTCAAAAAAAGAACTCATTCTTATATATGCATTCCACAAGAAGCAGGACATAGATACCGATGTATGCCGCAGTTTATGAAAATTATCGTTTAACCCATTGCTGTCTATATCTACTTTCAACTATATAATAAACATAATTATTGAGTAAAACATTGTTGAGTCAAATATATCACACAAAACACATATTAATTTCAATAAGAATTTAAGTATGTTGCAAATAAGCATCATTACCAGGCATGACAGTCATTAACAAATTACTTTGTCTTTAGTATGACAATTTTATTGACTTTTTTCATCACAATTGCCAGACGGGCCTTTGAAACTGCATTACAACACACATTTCTAGTCCGTTAAAATATAAAATCAAGCTTACATATTCACATTCTGACTACTAGATGACAACAAGTACTTCCAATATGGCAATTTGCATGAGAAGAATGTAAATCAATATATAACTTTGCAGCTTGGACCACAGGCCATTTGGGGCGTATTCATGACAAAAGTTCAAATAGGAATAAAAACAATCCATATAAAATGGTGTGGCGCTTGGTGAAGCAATTTAGTGGGTCGTCCATTTGGACTGTTAGTCCTCATTGCAGCCATCGAAGGCTTGATTTCTGACCGCAGAACCTTTGGTGCATCTCCCCTACATCCTCCATTTCTCAGCCCATTTCCTGTCTGAAATACACTTATTGGTTTCTATTACTGTTCACCATAGCATATTAAAAACAAAGTTAATGTTTTGCTCTAAACATGTTGTTCTAGAGCTTAGCAGACAGGATGCTCAGGAAAGGAAACTGAGATTTTACCCGCGCCGTGAAGTCAACGGCAGCTCCTCTGTTCAGCAGCAGAGTGGAGACGTTCACGTTGCCGTAGTGAGCAGCGATGTGCAGGGGAGTGAAACCACTCTGTTCGCAACAGACAGGTAGAACGCAGAGAAGAACGGAATGAGTGCAGTTATCATAAGCAGGTAAAGAAAAGAACCCTGACAGCTGAAGCAGTGTAATGACAAATATACATGCTGTCAAAATACAAACTGGCCTTAAAGAAGCGCAATAAAGGAGCAAATGCCAAAATATCTCATGCAATGCTTTCTGCATGCTAAACCCTTGGACGTAAAACATGCAAGCTAAAAAGATTCAACAATTACAGCTGCTATTTCTGAACTTTAAAAAAAAAATCAACAAAAAAGCAACTTTGCACTTCTGCAGGGACAGACAAAATGAATCCTATTAAAAAGCTCCAACATATCTACATAACACACTAAAAGTACGTTTAGCTCCTTACCTTCCCATTCTGATAGACATGGTGCAATTTAATTAAGAAACACAGTTAACTTAAAGATAAACCAAGTATTTCAGAGAATAAAAGCAATAATAACATGCTGAAAGTACACATGCCATAATTTTCTTCCAGATAAAAACAAGCATGAACAATGAAAAAAATACGGCTACTGCTAAGTGTTCAATTAAAAATTTGTAACATAAAGAATGGCATTTAAAGAATTTTCAACCTCTTTAAAGGTAAAACAAACAAACAAACAAAAAACATAAAATGTGAAGTGATGTGAGCTCCTGTAGAGTTTCATTAACAAACATTCTCTCGGATCAAGTAAAACACCAAGTGTTTCTCTATCAGCCATGCAGAGTGTGACCTTCATGCATCCGTATTAACGGTACATAAATGTGACGTGCAGGAATTCTGAAAGTCACAAAAGCTCCTTTAAATTTGGGGAAGTCTCAGGGTAAGAGAGCTGAAAGAGATGGCCATAGGTGACAAAAACAAATTCAAATGAAGAGGTGGCGAGTCTGTATACCTCTGTGGTTCTATTGACCATCATCTGGTTAGGAGGCATCAAAAAAGAAAGGAGGAATAGGGTGTAGGAATGTTAGGGAACGGACTTCAAACTGTAATATAAAACACAAGCTCAAGACACTCAAAGACAAGGAGGCATGGAGCAGGACAAGGGGTATGAAGAATTAAAGTGGCATATGTTTTTGTATATCAGGGGCTTTTAAAGAGTGGAAGAGCTCGCCTCCCTTTAGAGAACAAACTTACAACTTCAAATAATCTTGGTCATACTTCCTTGTTTTTATTTTGCTCTGCCCAGACTTTGTCTCCTTACTCACGATAGCCTTAGGCACTAAAAATCTGTCAGGCATAGGCTTCGCAAAATTGGCTAAATGTTCAGTTACTTATTTTTTTTTTGTTTTTTTTTTTGTTTCCCATGTTGCACACCCCTCCAGGAGGCTACATCCCACTCTTTGAAAAGTCCTGTTGTAAAGCACTGCTCACTCCACCCTGCCTGCTTCTGTTAGTTCGTTTTGTAAATATACTCATCTTAGAATCATCAAAAACCATTCTATGACCAAAATCGACCTGTTTTCTGTGACATACCTTCGACTGCACATCAGCATTGTGGTCATTCTGAAGCAGGAGGGCAGCAGACTTGGTGTCATCTTTGCGGGCCGCTATGTGCAGGGCAGGCAGGCGGACCTTACCCTTGGTGTCATGCTCCAAAAGCAGCGAGACCACCGAGTTGTGGCCCTGTTGGAGGGCGATCGCAAGAGGGGTAAAGCCATCCTGCAAAAGCAATTTAAAAAAAAAAGGGGAAAAAAAATTGGTGAAACTAATTTAGAAAAAAAAGCTGAATTAACTACAACTAAATATTTGATGTGAATAACCAAACACATAGATGAATTTCCAGCATATACACACTTCTGTTGCAATGCTTTGGTTTCCTTCATTTTCCAGCAAGTACCGCACCACCTCCAAATGATTTTCCTGGGCCGCCATGTAGAGAGGAGTGAAGCCATTCTGCTCAGACAGAAACATCACATCAGTCTATGCACACACCTATGATACAAGTAGACATTAGCGTTGACGTCACCCAGTTGTTCATTAATAATATTTAACCTCTAGTAACTCTCACCTGTGACTGAGCATTGACATCTGCCCCTCTGTTCACCAGCAGCCTCACTACTTCTTTTTGTCCTGCCAATGAGGCGATATGGAGGGCAGTGTTTCCTTTCTGCAAAGCAGAAACAATAGAAGATCACAATTTCTTTCAGTAACTAAATTAAGAAAAATCTGCCTAAGCATTTGGGCAGCATAGCATATTATTTTCTTAATATAATGATTCAGGATTCTTAAAAATATAAGCCTTTTTTACCCAACCTTTAAAGTTCCTGTTTTGTGTGTTTTTTGCATTATTTCCACAACCAATTAACAGGAATTACCTGAAAAGAATAAATATAAAATACAATTTTACAGGGGCCTCATGAACAAATCAAAATAGATTATGCAGATGGTGGCATTAGCCAAGAGCTTCTGGAATGTGCATCACATGAAAACTCTGTTGTCAGAAAATAAACGTGTTTATAGACGATTGTAGCTTTATTTATTGATACACATATTTACAAAAATAAAGACGCACATAGCACTTCCAGCAGGCACAAAGCATCTCTTTCTCTAAAAAAAGGTCGAACTGCAATATCATTGGTTAGTGAGCTAAGTGGATATTTTGGAGGTTTAAGCACTTCCACCTCTTTCACAGCACCGTCAACTCTGGTGTGAAGGGAAATATTATTAGTATCTAATCTCTCACCGTAGACTTTATACCTAGAATAAACTGGGTATGAAACAACCAAAACGCAAAAGGATCAGGACATCACAAAAGCAGGATACAAAAGTAGTCAGTTCATCAGTGTGGGAACAGTTGAATGAAAAGACACAGATGTCATTAAAAAAAAAAAAAAAAAACTTGTCATGTGCGAGAACTAATGCTCTTGTGAGGAGCAGTAATTATTATTATTTAGCTTTTACAATTTTAGTCATTACTGTTTCAGCCCGGTAAACAGAAGGCAATTCTCTGTTCTCCAGAAACCATAGATGGATATCTTTCCAAACTCACTGATTAATCATTTGAAATAATCATCATTTCAGAATAATCCTGATTATCTTGGTTAATAGAATTTCTATTAAAAACTATTTGTGTTGTTAATTTTTTTAACTATTATTTAATATGAAATGAACAACATAAAAAATAAATATCCTGATTTTATTAGTATTTTTTTTCTTATTTCACAGATAACTATGCTGATTATGTTTCTACTTACATTAAAGCAAATAACGTTAGAAATAGACTAGCCCTGTATATAGCTTATCAAGGCAACAACCAGTCACAGTTGATGTAATTGAGTAGTATGGGGGGAACTAAACAACAGAGACTGAAGAGTTAATACTTATAAAGGCTACAGGTCTACAAACATAAATATCAAAGACAGAGAAAAATGAATTATATTTTAGAAAGTTAAAAGTCAAAATCTTTGGACATGGAAAACATGATCCTTTAAATGTATCCTTTTTAGTACTCAAACCTTATTTATTCATTCATTTATAAGGACATGTAAAGAACTCCACACAGATACACATGCCAGTCCAAGGACACAAGCAGCATAGTGACAGATTTCATGTTGACTACTCAGTGGCTCATAGTGAAGAGATTGCCAAGCAGCATACTACACAGCTACAGTTATCCCACTTACACTGTTTCACTGAATGCGAAATACAAACTACAATCCAAGTAAAGACTTACTTGATCTTTTTGAAGTTGGGGACTTGAAGTAAGTTCAGAAAGTAAAGGATATTCCCTTCCTGCATTCGATTTTTAAATTTCACATATGTGATTGATTACTAATTAGCAGCCAACATGTGCAATATATCTGTAGAATCAACACTGAGTAACATAAGATCTTAGCTCGTGAGCGTACCTTGGTAGAAGAGTCAACGGAGGCTCCTCTTTGCAGCAGTTCTTCTACTAAATCTTTATGTCCTTCCTTAGCTGCCAGGTGTAATGCATTGAGACCATTCTGCAGTAAAAAAAAAATATATGCATGTTGTTATAAATACAGAAACATTGTGTTACAGTAAAACATGCTATATGCAGTGTGACGTCTCCTTTGTAATAGGCGCTCAGAGTAGGAAGGCTGGAAAACATGTTTTCAGTTTTGCTTTTGAAACTTTTTATATCATATTCCTGGTGTAGAAATCAGGATTGGAAATCATTGTAAAATTTCTTAATGTTGCATCCACAGATATATTGATCAGAATTTTGGGAATGCTATTGGATTTTTATTTTTTTGTTAAGGCTTGACTTACCAGTACTGAAATTGCAGAATGCAGCTTCAGATATTAAATTTTGGATTGGATTACTAGTTTCATTTTAGAAAAGGATGCCGTTATTCGTTGACTCAACATTTCTGCAAAATAAGGCAAGCTAACTTGTAGTCTACAGGACAGGACAGTAATAAATTGCTTATTGCTATGCGACTATTAACAGTCCTCCAACTCAATTTTAGACATACAAGATATATAAATGACAACATAAAACCAGCAGAAGAATTTGTTCTGTTTTCATCCTCTAGAGAACCAAGACGTTCAATTTTCTAAAAACGTTTTAAAAAAGAGATTAACTCTCTGGCACGTTATGACTAGATAAAATCTCATACTCAAGTTAAAAATCTACTTTCTATAACAAACAGACATACATCAAACAGTGCTGTAGCAACAGCACAGTAAGACAACAAATTAATTAAAACCAAACTAAACAAATTGGATATTTCATTAAAAAAAAATAAAATTAAAGCTAATCTACCCACTTTGCACAAGACTCGCACATAAACACACATCTTCTCAGAGACTAGTAAACCAAGGGAAGAATGCACCTCATCCTGCTTTTCCTCCATTCTCTTTGGTGCTCCTTTCAATCTGAGACAGAATGGCAAAGTAGCACTTCACACTTCAGCTTCTGAGCTTCTTTAAATCATCAGTCTTCTCAGGCTGAATATTCCTTTTCCACCAGATTGTCCTGTTGATCTTCTGTATTATGTGGAACTCCAACATGGATTTAAATGCGATGGAGTTTAATTTTCCTTTAAGTTCTTCTGCACCCACTCTCCTCACCACTGCAGGTTATGTCGGATAGATCACAGAAAGAGGATTTGCTTCACAGTCAGTACCGAAGGTTCTTTGGTGGATCTGATGTAGAAGGGGAACTGTTATGTTGCTAAGGGCCTGTATGTCTCACACAAGTTTGGTGTTTGCAGATATACACTGGCAAATAAAAAAAAATAGACACGTGTCTCACTCTAGCTACCCAAGTCGCCAAATGCCAAACAGCCAACAGGAGAGTCAAGTTTCTGCGCAGTCACAGGGAGCATGTGGGGCACACACAAACATAGATGTAGCAATTTTTAGCGGTGACTACAATTATACCGACATTTCAACAAAAAGTGGGGCATTCATCAGAGGAAAAGGTTTTCTTAAGTGAAAAAAAAAAAAACCTTTAAAGCTCGAGCTGTACTCATTCTAAAGCAAAAACATAAATGCAGTTGTCTACAAATAAGATTTCCTTGTGTTACATTGTCTTTGTTTATCCAGTTCATATCTTTTGAGAGTGAGCACTTCTGAGTTCAGAAGAGGTTTAATCATTGTGTGTCAGTTGTAAAATGGCGGACCATGACTCAGCTAAAAGAAAAAAAAAGAGAGACTGCAACCTCATTTATAGTCTTTCAATCACATTTAAGCCATTATGTATTCAAGGAGAAAAGTGCAAGTCCACCAGCAAACACACATATGTGCACCCTCTGTCATGCAGGCTGATCTAAAGCCCCCTTTCCTCACTGCCCTGAGCTGTAAGTGAAAGCTTCATTTAGCTAATGGACAGTCAGCATCGCCAGTTTGGACGAACTCCGTCCAGCACAGATTAATATTTATCTGTCTTCTGACCGCTGACCTTTGTTATGATCACACTTAAGTGGTCACAGTTAATTGGGGTTGCTTTAGGCACTCGAGTGTCACATGGGGATAAAATTACGGCGGTGAAAAGAGGAAACGCAGATTAAAGAGCAATATCACTCACCGAGGATTAACGCTGGAGTGGATTAGAGGGAAAGTCTGTTCAATTTGACAGTAAGGAGGTAGAACAAAAGAGCTCAAGCAAATAAAGCTGATTCATATAGATTTGGTTGCCCACAAATTCTCTAGCGATGTTAAATTTGTTAAAAAAATAAAAAAAAAGGAGAATGAATTTACCTCTCTCAAAAACATGGTTGTATTTGTTTGCCTCATTCATCCAATCAGTGCAAGAGGCATCCTAGGGTGACTGTAGCTTTGGCAGGCTAGGAATAAATCTCTTCTCTTTTACTAAGTTGGAAAGTCCCCTACATTTGGCACAAGACCGTGGTTCAAGCAGGGATGCTGCTTTCTAGGACTGGATACTTCAGTTATTAATGAACTCATTGCTGAGGTTCCAGCTTCTGAGTTTCTAGCAATTGAACAGAATGAGCAAAAGATTTTTTTCAGAACTATGTGACTGAAAATAACTGTCTTTATCATTAGACAAAATAATGTTATCGGATAAAATGCGAAAACGACTAAGCGAACAAAAAGAAATCCTGGCTGTGGCTGAAACCACATATTAACATACACTGTATTTATATGTAAGTTTTTTTTTTCTCAGTAAGCTTAAATATTTACTTCAGTTAAGATTACTATACTAATTTCTATTTGCACCATAAATAGACAAAACTGTAAAGATGGGTGTCAGCAAAGCAGCAAACTTGACTCAGTTACATCAGTTCAGGAGTGGGCAAAGATTCAAGCTCACTACTGTGAGAAGGTGTAACAAATGTTTAAAACAAATTTCCAAAATGTTTTATTTAAAACAATGCAGGTAAGTTTTTCAGTTTAAATAAATTAAAAGATATTTAGCAAATACAAATAATGTTTCTAATCCTATAAGACTGAAAATATGAAAAGTTGTTTAATTTTATGTCAGACAATAAAAATATTTTTACTGTCTTTTTCTACAGTGGCTTATTAACAACACTTTAAGAATCAGGGTTAAAGCCCTAACCTAGTGTTATGTATTGACATTAAATTTAATGGGAATGTGATCCAAAAGTTGGCTTTTAGAAATAAATAAATATGTAGATTAGCAAACATAAAAATAGTCAAAACATATCAAAAAAGACGACTGATGTGGTGGTACACATTATAATGTCACTCATACTTTTAGTCACCTGACAACATCTAATACTTGGTCATAAGACACAAGGAAATAATTTTAAAGCCATGACTCTCGTGTTGCAGGGTCTTGTGTTTTGTGTGTAGTTACCATCCCTCCTAATGTAACCCCATGCTGCCCATGGCATCTGTACTTTCTTGCTACCAGCCAATTACAATCCAGTTTATAAATAATTAGAGTTAATTCACATTTTAATTATAAAAGGCCAACAGCAACATGAAGGTGGGACATAAGGCATGTGCGCACAACACATATACTCACGTAGGCTCAGGCGACATCCCTCTGTGAGACGCCTTGTGACTGCTGCAAATCACAATGACACAGAGGGCTTGACAGAGCTGTATTCGGAGCTATTTGACCCCCTTGGACCGCTCCCCCACCTCAGTGGAATCCGAATAAGGGTGGGCAGTAGGGGTGAGAACAGCTGTCAGAGCCTTGCTGCTCAGATTGGTGGGGGTAGTGGGTGTGTTGAGGGAAGCAAGTTTAGATATGTGTTTGGGAACAATGGCACTGTTTGTTTGGGTGTGTATTAACAAAGGTAGCTTCTCTGATGAAATTATGAAACAGCAGCAAAAAAAGTCAGCTTTTACAAGTTTTATGAACATGCAGTAGCCGTTAAACTGTATTATTATTATTATTTTTTTGCTTTACATTGGAGAAGTCCACCTCTGTTTTATTTTGAAATGGTGAGTTCTGGATCATGTGCAATATCTGTTTTCTATTGCACATCGTATTTGATATGTAGGACAAAAGGTTTGTTCTTATCTGTGCATATATCTGCTGTGTCCCCTTCATGACTTGTGCATAAGTAATAGTTGCTGTTGATATATTATCCCACTTGATCTCTGCAGTTCTTCCAGAGCTACCAGGAGCCTTTTCACTTTTTCTCTGATTGGCAGATGTGCAGTTGCATCATGTTGTGTCAGTGTTGAGCAGTGCTCTGTGAAATGTTCAACACTTGAGATATTGCTTTATAATCTAAGCCTGCTTTAAGCATGCCATATAAAAATATTCACCAATGAAAACATGGCATTTATGATTAGAATAATACATCAGACCAATAACACCTTCTTAAAGGTTATTTTCAAAAGATGCTTTTGTTTTTGCTGATAAATTAAAGATACATGAACAGAATGTTTTTTATTGAATACGGTATAATAGGGATGTAATTATTTACTATGAAAATGAGCAAAATTAGGAATCACTTAATATAACTCTGACCAATAGGTGGTAACAAAGTGCTTCCCACATGCTATGTGGGCAATATGCAACATCAGGTTTTAGTTATGGCTACATTAAAAAAAAAGTAAAATTATGCACCCCAAACAAAGCAACACGATGTAATGTTGTGAAACAGTTGTGGCATTTCAAGTTTTCTTTTCTTACCTGGTTGCAGGTGCAGATGTCTACTCCATTTTTGAGGAATTCAAGGACTTTGTCAGTGTTTCCGGCTCGGGCAGCCCGGAGAAAACTGGTGTTACTGTCAGACTGTAGAGGCAAATACAGAGTTGTTTTAATTAACATCAACAAGCAAACAATTATCTTTACTTTTGCTTTCATATATTTTTTTAATGGTGTAAAAGAAGAAAAAAAAACACACTTGGCTACAATAAAGAATGATATTGATTTTTATTAAGGGTTGCATAATATTAGGAAAATGTGTCTCCAATATTGTTCCCAAATGCAATACATTTCAGGATTAACCCACATGTTCTTATTCTCTTACAATGTTAAAATCACTCTTGTGAGTTTTAGCGTCTCAGCCACTATTATAATATCAGGAGTGGTCCTCAGAGGCAGTGAGAGTCCATAAGACTCACTAAATATGCTGCTAACACTAAGATATGATTTATTGGCATTTTAAACATTGTAGCCTATGAGGTAACAGATCCAGACACTTCTTTTGCAGTAGCAGTTTTATATACAAGTGTATTGATTTGATATGAGACATTTCTGTTTTTCTATCATTGTCATTTACATATGCCTACATTACACCATTGCTTCAAATGAGGAGGGGTGAAGTTTTGCAGAAGTTAAAGATCCATAAGATAAGTCTGAGTAGGCCATTCTAAATTTAACCATGAGACATCTGCTCAAATGAGCAACACACCAACACACACCAACACACACATATTTTCTTCTCACATTAAAAGTTCAAGACTCTGGAAGACCTGGAGTATTCGCTTAACTTACACAACCTAGACATATAAAATTTTTACTTCCACCGTTTTGAAAAAGCTGTCATACTTTCTGAGCTTTTCATATTCTGTCAGCCAACAACTGACGACAAACTTCAGTGTATTATATAGAGATTTTATGCGAAATTACGACAATATACAGTAGCATTTGTGAGGTGGGAGCAAAAGGGAAGATAGTTTTCTAAATTTTGTAAATATACAAATCTGAAATGAGGCATTTCTATTGAGACACTGAGTCAATACATTAGCAAATCTTTTGTTGCAAATCTTTTGGGGCAAGCATTGCACATCAGATTGTATATTTTTTAGATTCTTCTTCACAAAATAGCTCAGGCTGGAGGGGGAACGTCTGTTAATAATAATTTTTACATACTGCCTCAGATTCTCCACTAGATTTTGGTCCCGCTTTTACCTGGACCATTGAAACTTTTAGCTGTTTTATGTCTACATCAGTTCATTGTTCATGTGGTTGTACATTTATCATCATCGTCCTGCTGGAACATCTGCCCTACACTCAAGGAAAAGCATCCCTACAGCACTAACTAAAATATTTTATGCTTGGAATAGAGCGTTTAGGTAATGTCCACCATTTGATTTTGAACAAATCTGAACAGAGCACCTCCCTCCATATGTTGTCCTGTGTCTCAAACATTGTTACTCGCAAACTACAACTTCTTTCAGTTGTTAAGGGATGGTGGTGCCACTAAGGCTCTGCTGGATGCCAAGTAGGAAGATGTACGCTCAGAGCACAAGGGAGATGAGGCCAAGCCCTAATGTGAGGTCAGAAGTCAAACCTATTACCATTGAGGTCATAACACACAGACAAACACACCAGCGGCAGTCAGGTAAAAATTAGGCAGAACTTTTGTCAGCACAGAGCAGAAAAAAAAAAAAATATCTACAGCAGCAGAAGCAAAAATGTGCCTTCTCTTACCTGGAAATCAACCTCTTCAGATAGAGAGTCAGCATATTTGTAGTATTCAGATAGTTGGTTTGAGTCACTGTCACTCCCATCACTCTTTAAAGTTTTATCTGATCCACAGGCTTTACATGATGCTGAATTACCCATTATGATCAAGTTTTTCACCTACAGATGAATCCCTTCCTCACTAACGTCAACACAGCACGCTGCTGAAACAGCCCACTTTACATCCTTTGGTAGAATCTTTTTTGTTTTGCTTCCCAGCACGAGTCCGCCAGAAACAACTTGTTGGTCCACACGCTGAAATCAGTCGGAATCATCCTTTCTTCTTTGTAATGACATCATTCAATCTTTTCCATATTGTAAATATCATATTTCTCAACTTGGTTCTATCTAATATGCATCCTGCATGCATCCAAGGCTCGTCTTGCCTGGCCTTCCTCTGCGTCTCTCTCTTTGCAGGTTAACAACTCCACACGTAAACATTTAACCGTCACAGTCGCTCTTGCTTTTGCTATTTTTATCATTTTAGATCATCAATTCTACCACGTCTGCAGCCCCTTGCTGTTAGCTACTGGGGATGGAGGGGGGGGGGGGGGGGGTAGGGGGGGTTGGGTATGGTGTGACAGCTGGGGTTTGAATCAGAATGTGGACTGCAAGGTCTGTGGTGTTCTCCACACACGAGAATTGTGTAGGGAAGACGTGAGGTTGCCACCAAAAGAAGGTATTTAATTTTGATAATTTAGTTTTCAATGTACAAGTTCACACAAATGTGAACTAAAGGGGCCTTCAACTGTGCCGGTACATGTGCAAATTGCATGTCTCATTAGCTATTACATAGCAAAGTTTTCAGACTTTGGAATAACAAGGCAGGAAAATAATTTGTACGCCTGACACACAGTAAGCACCTGTGTGTCAGGTGTACAAACACAGTAAAGAACTCGACAGGCTACAACTACACAAAGCCTTCACCTATTTAAATTAATTTAGTACTTTAAATCCAAGCAAGAGCGTTGCACAAAATCCTCAGCATTTAGGCTGCACAATATCAAGAAAATATTGAATGCTAAACATTGCAATAATATGCTGAATATTATTGCAAAGAATAATCAACATTTTCTTGGTACTTTTCTTTCTTTGCCATCACACAATATCCCCACCATCTTGTTGTGTGAGCTTTGATATCTCAGCCCCTAAAGATATACAATATATTGTGTGTTGACATTAAATAAAGTATTTTTAATATTTCACCACCACCAAGTTAAATATTCAACCAGTCTGAACATGAACTCAACAATGAAAAAGACATTCAACTGCAAAGAATTTACCTGGCGCTTTGCCTTTTCCCGCTTCCTTCTCCGCCTTTCCCTGGCTTTTTGTAGAGCTCTATATTCTGGATGTTGCTCAAGCTCACGAGCTTTCTTCAGATGAGCAGCAGCATGTGCCATGACTTCTCCCTTATGACTTTTTGTCGTCCCAAGTAAAAAGAATTTTGCCACAAGAAATGCTAATTTGCTAAAGTCTCTCTTTGTAGGTGTTATTAAAATTCCCAAATATTAACCTACAGTTAAAACGGGGCTTTCCTCCATAAAAAGCCTTGCTCTAATTAGAAAAAAATCGAAGTAACTCTGGATTAAATTACCGCAAAAATAAAAATCTTTAATTTTTGATTTAAAAGATTATGTGCAAATTCTTCTTTTCTTCCCTTTCTCAGTTGTCTTTATACAAGATCCAAAGTGATACTTTGCTAATCAAAAAAAATTTTATTCTCCAGTTGAAGGTCCAGGCATTGAGAACCGAAGAATGAAACAACCAAATGAAAATGAACTATTCAAAAGAGAACAACCAAGAGGATAGGAACTGTGAGGGGCTGATGAATGATGAAAGAAAGACCCGTCCTTATACCACAACACACACTCTGACACAGACGCGCATACACACACAGAGAAATGATCCTGACCAGATGTGCATGAAAATCTCAGTCTGTATGAACAGCTTTAGCTGTAAATCCACTCCGGTGTTTGTGTGTGTGTGTGTGTGTGAAAGAACATCAAGCATGAACATTTGAGCATTTAATGTGAATGTTAGTGAACATGTGACCTACAGTCAACGGAGATGTGCATGAGAACAGCCAGCTCACTGCTGCAGTGCCATCTGCGTCAAGACGCAGCCTTCCACATTAGCTCCTAGCAGTCTTATATCAGCTGCTTTGCACATTTCATATTAGCAGGTAATAAAACACAATATTACAGCTCATGGATGTGTATGAACCACCAGCAGCCTGCTTCAAAGGTCTCTCTCCATTAATGCAGCTGATGGTAGCAGTCTGAAATTACAGCACAAAGGACAGGGACACCTTCTCACACCTCTATTTTTGTTCACACTTTCTACTATCAACTTGAACATTAACTACAGCATCAGCAACATTTCTTCCAGCTGACAATCAATGCATGAGACAGACAAGCTGGATCATACCTCAGTGTAGCACCACTGGTAGAAATAGCTTATTCTAGTGCGCTCATAAGGAGTGGCACTGTAATCATGCTTAACTGTTTTTATGCACACTTTTCCTGTAGCACCCTCTGCTGGCGAGAGCAGTTAATGCAATATATTGATTTAAAATTTAATCGAGCAGCCAAGAGCGTAACTATAAAACATAGTAAAATATAGTACGGTTGAATCCTGTTTCGAACTGTTGTGTCAAACTGACTTAAAACAACATTGTCACTCTTCTTCTAAAAGGCTTAATTGGTCAGAAAAAACATGTCTAAATAAACCACTAAAGCTGTGTTTTAGCAGATTACACATAGAGCAATATGAGCTTTTGCTTCATGTTCAATGCAACACCTTACTTGGGTCAATGACTTTTATGATTTAGCTATATAACTAAATAAAAATTGATAATTGCATCGATTACAAATATGTTATATAATACAAATACAGTAGGGTGTGTGTGTTTTAATGTGCACGTGTTTTTGTCCATTTAGGAGTCAGATTACACTGACAGGAGATTCTAAGTGAAAGCTAAGATGAGCTTCGGTTTCTCTTGGTTTAGGGAAGTAAATTAATGCTCTGCTGTCCAGTTTATAGATCCAGAGGCTTTTATTTGGTCCATTAGACTCGACTGATAGGCAGAGACGAGAATCGCAAGAACCAGCATGTTCAACCAAGCCTGTACTTTACAAGTGTTTCAAACTGTAAATCTATGCAACCAAAGGCTTTGTCACACCTACAGATGCAGGTTACTTACCAAAAGCAAGGAAGAAACTAACATGTTCTTCTTATATAGATTTATACGTCTTAAATATTAAGCTACTTGTTTAAAATTGTGGCTGTTGTCTCTTAACATTATTTAATGAGCTTTGGTA